ACCACCACACCTGGCTAAATTTTGCATTTTTAGTACAGACGGGGTTTCACTATGTTGGCCAGGCTAGTCTCGAACTCCTGACCTCAAATGACCCACCCACCTCAGCCTCCCAAAGTACTGGGATTACAGGCGTGAGGCACTGTGCCCAGTGGATAACTTTGTTTCTGGAAAGACTGACATTGGACTTGTCTATGGCAATGCTTCTTTCACAAGCACACACTGGGCTGAGGTCAACTCTGATAGATTCAGATTACTAGAAATTGGCCAAAAAAGCAGAGAGAAGAACATGAGGTAGACTTAAAGAACTTCCTTTATGTAAAGATTTGTGAAATACCCTCCAGAAAGAGAGTGCATCTGAGAATGATATTTAAACTAAGAAAAATGTTTAGTCTGAGATGAATCATGAGCAAATAAGTGGTATGAGAGGGGAGGGATGGGTAGGTGGTTTCCAAATACTTCACTTATGAATGCATAATTTTCAGATTTTTTCCCCTAGCTTTTGAGGGAGCAGAGAAACTGGAAAAAATTTTAGTCGATATCTCGTGTTTCATTTTAATTGAGTGACAGGTCCAAGTGTGACCTCCTTCAGCACCTAGGGACAAGAGAGGGCAAAGATGCTTTACAGAATGTAAGAAGATGAAGGTGACTGGGATTCAGTGAGAGAGAAGTCCCTCAGATCTGGGACCTCCCTTTATAGGGAAAGACCATATTCCATTGGTTTAGAGCTTTTCTTTAAAAGCTCATTTTTTTTTTTTCATTCTTCCATCCCTAGGAGAGTACTTAAAACCAGACTTTTTTTTTTTTTTTTTTTTTGGAGACAGAGCCTCACTCTGTCTTCCAGGCTAGAGTGCAGTGGCGCAATCTCAGATCACTGCAGCCTCAACTGCCCCAGGTTTAAGCAATCCTCCCACCTCAGCCCCCAGGTAACTGGGACTACAGGCATGCACCACTATGCCTGGCTAATTTTTGTATCTTTTGTAGAGACAGGGGTCTTGCCATGTTGCCCAGGCTGATCTTGAACTCCTGGGCTCAAGCAATCCGCCAGCCGCAGCCTCTCAAAGCACTGGGATTACAGGCATGAGCAACCGTGCCTGGTCCCAAACTAGACCGTTAACACATTAAAGAGTCTGATTTTGTTGAAGAAAATATTTGCAATAAATTCAAGACTCTTCTTATTGGTAATTTTCCACACAGTCCCTCTGAAATTAGGTAGAGAATATAGATCTTTTTAACTTTGTAGTTAGGAAAATTGGCCTTAGTGTGACATTTTTCCAGTCCATAGCTCATGGATACCACAGCTTGTGGTAGTAGCAAGATACTTACTACCACTGCGTTTTCCTCAGTGTTCCAATAGCTCTTGTATCTAAGTTGAAACAGGCAGTATGCATGATTGCCTTTTTCTCTTCTTTTTTAAAAAACCCAACTCAGATGCTGCTTGCATGGCTTTTAATGAAGCTGAATGGTACCTATCACTTATTTATCCTTGACAGGTTATCTTCCACACTCTTTCTAACTTCTCCATTCTTCTCATTCTTGACACTTTCATTAGAACTACATGGTTTACAAAGTATTTTCACTTAACTATTTTATTTCTTCTCTATAACTGGTCCTTTGAGGTCAATATTATGAATACTCACATTACAAAAGAAGAAACTGAGGCTCTCTGAGGTTAAGTAGCTTTACTAAATTATAAGGAAACCTAGCTGGTAGGTAGACAGGAAGAATCCAGGTCTTCTGACTCCTCTTTCAGTTCTCTTTCCACTTAGACCATAGCTGCTTCGTTTTCTTATTTTTTAGCTTCCATCTAACCATTGCCTGTCTTGCCTGTCCTAATGTTCTCCATCTTCTCTCACCCCTAATCCCACTCACTGCTTCTCTACTACTTTGCTTTTTGGTGGATGCTAGCAATGTGCTTTGAGAGTCGGTCCTATTTTGGTTCTCTTTCTAGTTGGTTTGTGCATCATTATTTCTCCTGAATTGCAACGAAACTCCTTCCTGGGAGATTTGATCATGACTGTAAATCAACAAGGTACTGTGATCACCAGCCTACTTCCAATCTCCACCCACCTCCCTGTCTCTTCCCATAATCTTATAAAAGACCCAGACTAGATGTGTGTTTCTCTGGAAGCTTTATCTGGCCTGATGTTGCTTATTAAAGGGCTTAGAAGAGTTCTCAAGGGCTATTATTATCACTTTGGAAACCCCATCTGTTGTCTTGGTGCTGGATATTTCCCATGTCTGATCCTCGGTAACACAATTCACTAAAGGCCAAGCTTGGCTCAGTCTGATTTTCCCGTTCTTACTGCTTCACAGCCATGAATGTGATTGCTCAATCCAGTTGGCCCCAAGAGCACCTTGCCCTGTTGACCTTCACTGTCACCTCAGTCTTGAATCAGAGCCCCAACCTCAAACACTCCTTGCCTGTCCCTACCCCAGCCTTTATTCTCACCACTTGTTTAATGGCATGCCCCTTTAGTTTCTCCATTCCCAAACACCCACACACTCAGACTTCCTTCTCAGTTGCAGGTTTCTCCTTAGATGTTCACCTAGAAATATTACTAGGAAAGTCACTTTTCAAAGCAGGAATATGCTGGGAAGTGTGAAGAGCAGTGCATGGTTAAGAGACAGCAGCTCCCTCCTCTCTCCCCAAAATTATTGGATCAAAACAAGAAATTCCACCCATCTCAGAATCTGTGAGTCCTCCTCACATAAATCTGAGGGAAAAGGCTGTGCCATTTCATCTTTGCAGGAAGAAAGAGAAGCAAGAGCTAGACACACTTCAGAATATATCTTAGTTTGTCCTTCCCCAATTTAACATGAAAATGAAAAAACAAGAACAAAAAAACAAAAGAAGCCTTCCTCTCACCTCATTTTGTAAATGAAAAATCCCTAATTCAGTGAATTCACCTAGTCACTGCAAATGTATCTGAATAGTGCTTGGTGTGCTTGCCAGTCTGATCATCCACTCATTCTAGTAACATCTTTTTGCACCCACTCTGTCAAGCGCTAGCCTAGACCTTCAGTGTGCTATGCAGTCATCAGTCTGAAAAACAGCATCATCCAAACCCTACTTAATCTCTAAAATCTCAGCTGGTGGACAGCTCATGATTAATCCAGCCCACTTCCTCCCCCTTAGTTGAGTTCGCAGCAGGACTCAGGAGATAAGCACTTCCAAGCAAGTCTGATTTATACATCAAACTCGGGTCTCCAGCCCAGGCCAACTAACCCTCAGAGCCAGCAATGCTCTGTGCTTCCTCCCTGTGTCACCGCTTGGCAAGAGCTGCCTCTGCTCAGCAGTGTGTGTGATGGAGAGGGAGGCCGCTGAAGGCCGAGTGCTTGCATTGCAGGCTTGTGAACCGCCATCCAACACAATCCACACACTCTTAGTCTTGCAACAGATAGAAGTATTTTCCATGTTATCATCTTCATAATGCTTTTTCTTGATTTTCCACAGCCAATCTTTTTCCAAACTCTAGAAATGTTCCTGACCACCTAAGCCCTCAACAACATAATGCCTGTATGTGCTATTTTTCAGTAAACTCCTTGTTCATGTCAATAAAGTATCCCTAAAAACCACTCTCTGGTTTTGTTCTACTTACTGTGTCTGCCCCATAGACTATGCCTTCCCCCAGCACCTCAGCCTGCTTCATATTCCCGTACTCAATCTGTGGATATGCATGAGAATGAAAACCATATGATAGCCTCACATTAAACACACACTAAATGTGTGATCTGGCCTCTCTGCTTCCCTTTCCTCCTCTACCCTAATACAAAGGAACACAAGAGTCACTTATGTTCTTGCCTGACATCAAACAAGTTTCCTAACCAGGTAGCAAGGAGCTCCCTGCAAGGCTGACCTAATGAAGGGAGGAGCCAATCTGGCTCTCAGCTCCACCAGTTTAGGGAACATAAAAGAAGGCGGCAAAGCAGTCTCTCAACATTCATCTTCCTGGAAGTGTTAAGGCCCGAAGAGGAAAAAGTTCAACAAGAAACCATCATCAGGATTCACAGTTCACCACAATCTCCTACAACAACAGTACTACTCATCATAAGATTAAAAATCGGCCAGACGCAGTGGCTCACACCTGTAATCCCAGCACTTTGGGAGACTGAGGCAGACGGATCACCTGAGGTCGGGAGTTCAAGACCAGCCTGGCCAACATGTTGAAACCCCATCTCTACTAAAAATACAAAAATTAGCCAGGCGTGGTGGCAGGTGCCTGTAGTCCCAGCTACTCGGGATGCTAAGGCAGAAGAATTGCTTGAACCCAGAAGGCGGAGGTTGCAGTGAGCTGAGATCATGCCATTGCACTCCAGTCTGGGCAACAAGAGTGAAACTCCATCTCAAAAAGAAACAAACAAAAAAAAAGATTAATCATCCCAACACTTTGGTAAGCTGAGGCGGGAGGATCACTTGAGGCCAGGAGTCTAAGACAAGCCTGAGCAACATAGTGAGACCCCAGACCCCATCTCTAAAAAAAAAAAAAAAAAAGCCTGGCATGGTGGTGTGTGCCTGTAGCCCCAACTACTCAGGACGCTGAGGTGGGAGGAACACTTGAGCTCAGGAGATCAAGGCTGCAGTGGCCATGATTGCACCACTACACTCCAGCCTGGGTCACAGTGAGACCGTCTCAAAACAAAAGAAAATATTTTAGTATAATACCAGCTGCCATACTAAGAACGATGTGTTTTTTAAATGTATTATCTCTGACACACTGAGGCTTGGAGTGACAGATGGGGCGTACGGCCACACAGCTGGTAAACAGTGATGCTGCACTTTGTACTCAGATCTGACTCCGAAACTGACCCATTCCAGTCGATCCGGCGGCCTCCCTCCCGCCTGTGAGAAGGTGGATGGCCGCGTGTATGTGTGTGTGTTGTGTGTACAAGTGTACCTACACGCATGCCTTCAGGACCTGCTGTGAGGCCACTTGGGAAGACCAGAAACATCTGAGGTGACGAGCACTCATAAATCAAGCAATAAACACGCACACCATTTATTATTGTAGTTCAATACTTTTTTCTTTTTAATTCATACTGTACTTCCATGGCTCTAGCTACTTTACATTAAGATTTGGCTGGGCAGCCTTGTGTGTTTCTAGGTACTAGCAGTAAGTGTTCCGACCTTGCGCACAGCGCCAGGCAAAGTACAGTTATAGATCCAAATACAGACGGCCAGACAACTCGACTGCACTCGACCCGTGTTCTTTCCCATAGATGGCCCAGTGCAGGTGTTGGGGCTGCTCCCTCTGCCTCACCCCACTCCACCTCATGTCAGGATTATCCAGGGGCCACTATGGCCTCTGACCCATCCCTCCCCACCTTGGAGTCTAGGTTGAGTTGGGGAAAAAGCACCATGGGTTTGGGAAGATGGTCTGGTCCATGCAGAGAGTGGTCTGGCCTTTAAGTGCAGGGTAGGAAAATGTGGGGAGCCACAAGCTATTGTTGGCAAAAATGGCTGCTTTGACTATGCAATCTCAGCACGTGGCACCCAAGCCCCAGGCCAATGCCCCAGACAGTCAGCTGCCTTGCCTGGAGCAGAAGCCACCCTTTTGCTTCTGCAATGTCTTATTGTATTGAGAGAAGCAAGGAGGGCTGAAGAATGACAATGTTCTTTAAGCCTTCAAATGTTGGGGAGATCGTCCAGCATCAGCTCCTCCTGGCCGGCAAGGTGCTGCTCATCAGCTGCCAAGACTCCAGTCCGGGCTCCAGGGCCTGCTGAGGATCTCCAGTCACAAGACCCCAGAGCTGTTGCACAGAACATCAAAACAGGGAGCTGGCTGGGCCCTTCACAACCATGGCCAGAGCAGAAGTGAGGTAACAAGGCTGGGCAGAGCGGTGGGAAGGGAGCTCTCTAAACAGTGTGCAAATTCCTGCTCTGCACTATGACAGCAAGCAGGGGTCTTAAAAGATGGCCTTCCAGGAAAATGCTCCTCTCAGACCCAAAATGCATCTTCTGGAAGAAAACACAGAGGTGAAGGGGATTGGGGCCAACCTGCTGGAGGCTGGGGGAATGAAAGTCAAGGATGTGAAGTGGTGAATGGGATGATTGTCCCATAGCCTAGAGACAAGTGGTGAGGGTGGGGAGAGTCAGGAAGGGGCCCTGGAGTTTCCTCCTGGAGGAGGCAGGCAGGGTATGAGGTGTAGGGAGACCAGAGCCCTGCCATCTGGGGGAGGGAGAAGAGTGCTATTTCTCCTGGGGCCAGTAGGAGAAAAGGGCTGGCTTTGGCTGCCCTGCAGAGCTTAAAGAAGCGACACGGTATGGCACAGAAAGTACCCTCCTGGGACCACAAGCATCCAGAAAGATACTTCCCCTAGTCCCTTCTCCAGGACCTCATCCTAGGGATGCTGCCTGGAAATGTAATAGGTATAGTTCAAGTTTGGGTGGGGACAGGGACACGGAGAGAATCCACTTCTCACAAAGCACTCCTCTTGAGCTCTCTTGGTCCTCGCCATGTCAGTGTAGGTTCTTAGTGTCAGTGCTCTAAGGCAAACCCAAGAGTTTTAGCCAAAGCTTCATACTAAATCCAAACCCTATCTAGACCAAAGAGAAGTGCTAGGACCAGAAGTGGTTTCTCTCCACTGTTTCTTCTACCAGTAAGGAGGAAGGACAGACAGATGAAAGGCTTCACAGAGCCTAGAGATAGAAGATGAGCTCCATTGAAAAGAATGTTCTTCTCCCAACTCAGAGAAAGTCCAAAGGAAGATCCCTCCACAAACTAGGCCAAAGAAGGAAGAAACTCTTCTAGGTGAATACTGAGCAATACATCAAGCTCGCTCGATCTCTCTCTCTCTCTCTCTCTCTCTCTCTCTCTCTCTCTCCTTCCCTCCCTCTCCCCCCTCTACTGGGCGTCCCCAGCCCTCCGAGCCACCTAAAGAATATATTTTAACCACTCTGGGTCTCCTGGGAATGCAGACACTGCCCTACCACGCTTTTAAATACTGGGAAGCTTCAGCCTCTGGGCTTGTTCCCTCCTGGCAGAGTAACTGAGAAATTCCACTCAGTCTTCTCAGCCTCTGGCCTAACCCCCAAGATGATGTCAAAGCTAGAACCTACCTTAAAGATGATCTAGCCCCACTCCCTCCTGTGACAGGAGGATACTGAAGCTCAGAGACGGAATGACTTGTCCAAGGCCACAGAGCTTAGTCAGTGGAAAAATCAGGACCCAGGCCCAGGTCTCCAAACCATTAGTGCAGTGCTCTTATACAGAGCTTCAAGCAGCTGATCTTGCTGGCCTGAGATGTAATCCTCTTGTCCCCAAAGAGGTGGATGGGGAAGGGAGAGAGTCACACCCATGATTAGCTTGTCTGAGGCCAGTCTTGTCAATGCTTTCACAGTAAGCTGTAATGGAACTTTAGATCCTATAGTAGTTCTTCACCTCGTTAGAAACTGCAAATTCTTTAAAACTGAGTGCAAACTCTCAAACATTGTACCACATAAGTCATTACAGAAAGACTCCTGTGTGTCCCTAGTAAACAAAAACAAACACAAAAAGCACTGGCTGGAAGAAGTTACGTAAGTAGTGATTTTTTGATGCTCCCTTGTAGACAGCAACTAGCCAGGCTAATGGCCAGGAATACAATGCTATTTATTTGTTTCACTCCCAGACTTATCTGCAAGGGTGAGTTAAGATCTCTTTCACAAGCTATTAACCAAGGGGGAAGAGATTTTGTTTGGGAATGAATCGAGTTGTTGGTTTTCTCCTGGTATGATAGTCAAAAAATTATTGGAACAGAGAGAGCCTACAAGAGACCCACAATTCTTAAAGGGCATTCCCTATGTGCACACATTGTCTACTGGGTTCAAATCACTAAAAAACCAGGAGGGTTCTTCTGACATACTCAGTACTGCCCTCCCTGCCACCTTCTCCTGCTGGGAATGGTCCTGAGAGGTAAAGCAGAAGCAGAACAACTCCCTGCTGCCAGGTCTGCTCTGTCACTTGACTCCAAACAAAGAATCCTTTTAAAGTCATCCCACAGGTTCCACCATGGCACCTTTCATAATTAAATAACTTAAGTAAATAATTATGTATGGAATAAATTCGGGAATCTCCAATTTTTGCATTCAAAACTTTCTGGGAATAGTTTTGGCTTCTGACTGTGCCAAGGGGGAGATTTCCAGCAGTCTGCACCATGCCTCCTTCTTTGGCTCAGAGCCCATGAGCCTTGATCCCTACCAGTGTCCCTTACCCAAAGTCCTAGACAAGAACTGAACAAGGACACACTGGGCTGTGCGCGTAGGCACTCTTCACAGGGATTACACGAAACTGCATTTCCTCCCATCTCCTCTTCTAGGGGAGGAATACCTGCTCTGGCTGATGACTTGGAGCCTCCTCACCCTCCTCCCTTGGAGGATCCTGCCCTTAGGGAAATACCAAGGCCTTATCTTCACATGGAAAAGTCAGAAACTGTAATTGCCACAGGGAATTAAAGGCCATTCTAAAAGAAAAATACAACTTTGTGGGGTAGATGAGTGATAAAATCTTCTGTCTTTTGGGCTGATGTTCTGGGACATCTGGAGTTCCTTCTGCCCCTGCATCAAGAAGCCCAGGAGAAGAACAAGCAAGACTGAAGAGCTCTGCATGCCCAATGGGCTGTGACTCTTTCATGAATCTCCACAAGCTCTGCCTGGAGCTGGTGGGACTCTTTTGATCATTACATGAAGAAATAGTAGTTAGTATATGAGGGATGATGAATGTGCCCAGAGGGCCCCGTGAATTCAGACAAATGCATGGTGCTAGTGGGCCAACGCTGAAAAGGCCCTGAATGTCTCACTCTTTGAAGCCAGTGCCTTCTACTCCTTAATGATCTTACACCTCTGTGGGGCCAGAGACCAGAGCAGGATTTGTACTCCACCCCCTGCCAGAGCCCCCATTCCCAAGTCTGAGAAACTCAGGATTTGGAATGACTCCCTTGGGGCATAGATTTCACTTGGCCTTTTCCTGCCCAAACACATGCACCTTTGCCAGTTCCTTCCCTCCAATGGCTTAGATGCTTTTTCCATGTGCAAGCTATCTCAGACAGTTGTCTCCATTGGCGAATGCTGGTTCATTCCAAGAGCAAATGACGCTGGCAACCCATCTTGTTGCTCACCACTCACGGTGTTCTGTGGGTAAACCCTGCACCCCGGACGTAGCGAGGGCCTTCTCTTCCTCTCTCAAATCCTGGAGGGCCCAGCACACCCTGACTTATCCTGGAAATCACACTGACAGCTCCAAGTGAACGCCTCAGAGCCACAGACCTGACTTGCTTAGAAGCACTAAAAGAGGTTTAATAAGGTCAAAAATGCTCCACCCTGGCTAATAAACAATGTGCTCTTAGGGCACAGAAAACAATAGGACTTTAGGCACTAAAAAGTGACACTTCGCCCAGATCCAGCCTGGGAGAAGACCAGAGAGAAAGTGGGTGGGAAAGTAAGAAATTCCCAGCCCTTACTGCGTCCACACCCTACATAGGTCGGAGGACGGTGCAGGGGTGATGGAGGAGAGTATCCTTCAGAACACGGGTCTTGGGAGCCTGCCACCCCCCAATGCAGCCTTCCTAGCTTTCCAAGCATCCTCTCCATCTGAGGCTCAGTACGGTCCGGATCAAGTGGGCGGCCAACCCTAAGAGTTTAGACTGGGCTCCCTTGATGTTTCTGTGTTCCCAAGAGAATGCCTGGGGAAGCCTGGGGTAGGGAAGAAAAGATTCTCTTTTATTTTGGAAACAAATCAAAAGGGGATCAGGGAACGAAGCACCTTAAGCAATGCCGTCTTGAGACTTCTTTTTGAGACCCTAGGGTCTTCACAGGCATAACTTTGGCTCAACATTTCCCTTCTAAGAGCCAAGAATGGCCAGCAAGGGAAGGGGTGGGGAACAGAGGGTGGGAGGAGGGAGATCAGGGGTGGTCAGTGCTGAGAGGCGGTTCCTGCCCTCCTCAGCTGCTCCACCTCAGGAAAACGCTGCTCCGGCCAGCACAGGGAGCGGGAGGGCCCGCTCCTTCTCCCTGGTACATAGGCATTATCTCTTTTTTAAAATCTGTATATAATATATATATTTATATTCTGTATATATATATATTTATATATATATTTATATGGTCTATGTACATGTATTGCACAGGCCTCTTGCAGCCACCCTGTTCCTGCCTTGTCAATGATAGCGATTCCTCTTTTCTTCACTTTCCGACGTGTAGTCGCGGGACCTGATGCCATTCTGAAGGTTGATGAGCGAGTCCTTCATCTGCAAGACAGAAAACCCCACCCCAGGCCTGGGTCTGCGCTTTCAGTGGGATTCTCCACCGAGCAGCCCCCTCCCCACACCCGCCTAGGGCAGGCCTCCAACCACGCCATGGGGCTGAAAAGAGTCGGGCACCTAAAGCAAGGCTGGTTCTCTGGGCACGCTGTTTCAAGCAGAAAGGGGACAGTCAGGCTGGGCGTGGTGACTCACACCTGTAATCCCAGCACTTTGGGAGGCAGAGGTGGGAGGATCGCTTGAGGCCAGGAGTTTCAGACCAGCCTGGGTCACACAGAGAGACCCCATCTCTATAAAAAATTTAAAAATTAGCCAGCCCCTGTGATATGCACCTGTAGTCCTAACTACTCAGGAGGCTGGGATGGGAGGATGGCTTGAACCCGGGAGTTCACAACTGCAGAGAGCTATGACTGCACCACTGCACTCCAGCCTGGGCAGCAGAGCAAGACCCTGCCTCTTAAAAAAAGAGAGAGACAGAGAGGGAAAAGGAGAGGGAGAGAGAAAGAAAAGAAAAAAAGAGAGGAAGAAAGAAAGGAGACAGACAATCTAGCATGGGAAGCCCTTGGGTAGGGCTTACTGGGTCTCAGTGCTGAATCGAGAACTCTCTTGAAGTGTTCAACTGCTACAAAGAGCCTCTCAGGCTGTCACTGACTTGATCTACTCGTTTCATCTGGTTTCCCTGATGATCCCTAATATACCACATGCCTGTCTTTGTACATTTAGCCACACTGTTCCCCCCACCTGGGAATCTTTGTGCTCTTGCCTATGCCAATCTCACCCATCTGCTAAGGCTCAGAATAAATCCAAACTTCCTCCAGCTCTCAGTCATCTCCTTCATGGTCTCTCACACAGCACACTCAGGCTCTGGACTTCAGTCATCTTTCGTTGCTTGGTTTCAAGTTTGCTAGGACTAGAACTGTGTCTAATCCTTCTCTTGTGCACCCAGGGGCACCACGCAGAGAACTGGGTAGGTTCCTATTCGGTACCCATATCAGCAAATTAACATTTTTAGGTCACAGACTGCAGTCTAAATGGGAGACTAGAATGGAGCCCGGCAGGAGAATTCTAAAATGGCCCATCACATCACATATTTAAATACTCACATATTCACATACTGTCTCTGGGTAAACTGCTCTGTTACAACATAAGACAACATTTCTGGGGTAAACGGTTACAGATTTGGGGAAAGTCTGGTCTCCCTGCTTAGTCTACCACTTTCTTCTCTCTAGTTCATTTATATCTTCTGCTCAAGACAGAGGAGGAGGCCATTCTGTTATTTTAAAAGTTACTTTTAAAGAGATTGAAACAAAACAACTCTCTTAATACTTATCGTGTAGAGTCCACTAGGCTATAAGTCTGACAGCCCCAACCCCCAGGTTAATGGGCCCCATTCTGAAATAGAATTCTAGAGTTGGAAGAGACCCCTGGGTCATCTAGTCCAAATGCCCCAATTTAATCGATAAGTTCTGTATCCATCATCATCTAGTTACCCCTTGAACACTTTCAATGTTGGAATCTCAGTTCTCTACAGTAGCCTGTTTCATTGCTGGACAGCATTAGCCACAAGTTGTCTGCAGTTGATGATGAAGAAAAATTACTTTCTTAAACTTCTAGCCCAAGTTCAGTGCTCTGGAGTTTTTCAGTAAGTCTAACCCTTGACACCTGTTGGCCTAGATGTCTGAAGACCACCCTGTTCTCCTCACCCCCGCGTTCCCTTCTCCTGGGTTTGTCCTCAGTGCCATCAACCATTCTTGAAATGGTAGGGCTTCTAAACTCCTCACTATGCTTTTTGTCTTCTTTTGGTTAAAAAAAAAAAAATGCCCTCCTTAAGTATAGTGACAAAGCTAAACACATCCAACTGGGTCCTGATAGCTGCATTAAGATTCTTTTCCCTTTTTTTTTTTTTTGAGATGAAGTCTCACTCTGTCGCCCAGGCTGGAGTGCAGTGGCGCTATCTCAGCTCATTGAAACCTCCGCCTCCCAGGTTCAAGCAATTCTCCTGCCTTAGCCTCCCAAGCAGCTGGGATTACAGGCGTGCGCCACCATGCCCGGCTAATTTTTATATTTTGAGTAGAGACAAGGTTTTGCCATGTTGGCCAGGCTGGTCTCAAACTCCTGACCTCCAGTGATCTGCCCTCTTCGGCCTCCCAAAGTGCTGGGATTATAGGCATGAGCCACCACGCCCGGCCTCTTTCTCCTTATTTAGAGCTAAGACCAAAGAATGCAAGGAAATAAAGTTTAATTTTAATGAGCACCACCCATATGCCATCAAATCCTGATGACAGTTCCATGAAGCTACGATTACAATTCCTATTTTATAAATGAAGAAATGGAAGCTCAAGGTCCCTTGCTCATGGTCACAAAATTAGTTAGTGGCAAGGCTGGGATGCCATCTCTGGCTGGTCACAAAACGTCAGAAAGTCAACTCTTCAGGGAGAGAAGTTGTCATGTAGCAGGGTAAATTGTGAGTCTATCACTTTCTAATTCTCTTGCACAGCAGAGGCAGGTTCCTGCTCTCTAGGCAACCACATGGAGGCATATATTATAAGATACTAAACTATTCTGGGGAAGCAGGAAGCTCCCTCCCCCAAGGAAACTAGGCTAATTTTTGATTTTGCCTCAGGATGATTTGCCTAAATAGTTGATCTCGTTTTGCGGGGGGGAATACAGGCAAACTGTACGACAAAGATGATGCTACGACAAGAAGACAAAGTACAGCCATCTTCCCAGACTATCAGTGCAGTGCCACCGACTGTCAAAGGAGGGGGCGGTGAACATTTGAAAAAACTCAAAGACATGCCCTCTGGGAAGACAAATCTCTGTAAAAGGGTTGAGGGGGTTCTCTGTTTAAATGCCTGTCAGATGGTTATGGTTACCAAAAATAGAAATAAAAAGAGTTCTCCTTCCAACTAACCTACAGCTTTCCTGGTGCACATTCAGTGGGTCATTTTATTGTTATTATTTTGTAGAATACACCTGCATTTCTAGCAGCCCACTCAAGGAAGGCTTTCCATTTAGAACAATGCATGGCTTGGAGGAAGAATGAATTGGAGGGAGAAGTCTGGAGGGTGGTGATAGAGACGAGGATCTTTCTCACAGCATAAGGGAAGGAGTCCCCGCTCCCAAAGACTGGGGCAAGCAGAGAAGGTGGGCATCTCACCTGGTCAAGGAGCATCACTGAGGATTTGATGATCTCCCTCCATTTTTGGAGCTCAGTATCGTGGTACTTTTGTTGGGACTCTAAGAGCTGGGCCCATTCTGTCTGAGACTGGGGTAACCTGTGGGGTAGAAGAAGGGGTACCCCAGCAGCTGGAGTTATGCTCAGCGAACTGTCCTGTGCTCCCAGACCCCTAAAGGACAGAGAGTCACATCAGAGTGCTTTGTCCTCTGCCCACTGCCCCTGGTTCCCCTGTGCCCCAGATCAGAAGTGGGCTGAAACTACAGGGAGAGATTCTGAGTTTCCCTGTGGGGTCTTCCCAGAGGGCTATCCCTTGGGCAAGGGCAGTGAGGCAGTCCCAAGGAGACTGGGAGACAGGTGTCATGGCACTGGGTGGGATGAAGGTAGAGGTGAGGGGACGAGGCCAGGATTACCTTTCTTGGAGCCTTAGACCCTGCCAAGCAGTGAGGGTCTGCGTGGTGTATTCCAACATCCAGAGTTTGTAGAAGAGCATCATGTTAAGGATGACCAGCAGCACCAGACTAGGAAGGAGACATGGGGAAAAAAACCAACAGCAGTGAGATGTCATCTGAGCCTAGGGCATCCCCCATCCCAGAGGCTGCTGTCCCTGACCAGTGGGCCATCCAAAGCATTGCAGTGAGTGAGTGAGCTGGAGGGATGCAGCACAGGGGAGAGAGAAAGAAGCAACCTAATCTGGACGGGCCAGGATACAGGGGACAGCCATGGAGAGGGGCGTGGGATGAAGGCACTAGAAAGGAGAGATGCACAGGCACCAGAACCTGGGCACCTGGGGGAAGAGAGGTCTGGTGGGAAGGAAGAGAGATGAGGGGGTAAAGGAGTAATCATAGAGCCAGTACCTGAAACAGATCCTAATGGGAGCAAGGAAGAAAAATGGGGAGGAGGCAGAGGTTAGAAACAGGCAAGTGTGGGGAAGGGGAAAACTGCACTGAAAATCAAGCTGGGAGCGAGCGAGAGTATATGAAAAAAAAAACACTAGAAGCAAAGACACAATGGATGAGAAGACCCAGCAAGGACAGGGCACAAGAAAGCAACAGACAGACTCTTAGTATTTCACGGGTGCTAAATTGAGAAAAGATTCCCCTTACCAACCCAACCTTAGGACGTAATTGAAGGGGGAGACGGAAGGAGGAATTCCACTGGGTCCCTAGCTCTGCCAAGGATACCTCTTACAGACATTAGCAGAACTTCTCGCAAGCTGCAAACTTCCCTGCCTCAACCTGATACCAGCGGGCAGGGATCATGGAGGCAGGCTGAGGTTTCCCAGAGTCTGGGTCAGAACTGGTGAGAGACAGGGGAGGCAAGGATCATCCAGGGGCTGGAGGGGCTGTGGGGAATGAGGAGTCACAGAGAGACTGCAGGAATTCCCTCCTTCTCTCAGCCTCACTGGCTGCCTAAACATCACTGTATTACAAGCTCATAGGATGGAGAGAGAAGACATCATTGTGGATAGAGAGGATCCAGAGACACACAAAACTGGACGCAAACCCTGGCTCACCGCTTAAAACTCTCTTAACTTTTGATCAAGTTTCCTAGCTTCTCCGACCTAGGGACAGTAACACCTATCCTACTGGGATTGTTCTGTAGATGAAAGGGAATATATTGAAAAATATCGTGGCACACTATAGGCCCTACACAAAGGGTAGTTCTTATCACTAATGGGGGAGATGTGGACACACATAAGAAGAGAGAAGATGACAAAAAACGAGAAGATAGGCCGGGCATGGTGGCTCAAGCCTGTAATCCCAGCACTTTGGGAGGCCAAGGTGGGTGGATTGCTTGAGCTGGGAAGTTTGAAACCAGCCTGGGCAACACAGCAAAACCCCATCTCTACAAAAAAAATTTTAAAAAATTAGTCGGGTGTGGTGGCATGCACCTGTGGTCCCAGCTACTAGGGAAGCTGAGGCAGGAGGATTGCTTGAGCCTGGGAGGTGGAGGTTAGAGTGAGCTGAAATCATGCTACTGCATTCCAACCTGGGCAACAGAGTGAGAACCTGTCTCAAAAAAAAAAAAAAAAAGAAAGAAAAAAAAAAAAAAAAAAAGGAAAAGAAAGAAAAAGAGATAAAAGAGAGATGGATAAAAGACAGCAAAGAAAGAAAAGCCTATGCGATGCCTTAGGGTTTTCAAAGCGTATGCCTGTGCAAGAGGTACTGTGTTTCTCATCTGTGCTTCTGGTACTGTGGAAGGTAGACTTCTTTAAACTGGCAACCACAAATTTCTGGCGCTGCTGTCTTCTCAGGCCTCTCTGAGTTGTCCGCAAGGCCTTTAAAACTTTTGTGTTGAATTTCAATGCCATGGTCTTTAATTTTATCAGCACACACTGGGTCATCTGAACACCCGCCTCTTTGGCACAGCCTGCTCACGATCTTCGTGCCTGCATTTGGGTTTATGTTTGCAATCCTGTCTGTGCTAAGTGAAGGTCAAGGGATACCCCTGTGTGCTGTCTGAGTGAAGGCTGCACAGTGGTCGACACAGGGAAAGGAGGTGGCTGAGTCACGCTGTAGCAGGCACGTGGGGGCAACAGTCTGCCAGACACAGGGCAAGCTGTGCTGTGTCAGCCCGTCCCACATGCAGGCTGTCGGCAGACACTCGGCCTGGATCCTGTAGCACTGAATTAGAGTCTGATCATTCTAAACTTACAAAACCAAAAGGTGAGTTGATAACATGCTATACAATTTGCTCAGGAGTGCAGGCCTTCTCCACTTAAAGTCAAAATGCAGAAAGAGCTTAAACACAGAACTAACCTGAGGTTACAGTGCTCTACAAACCAAAATCCAATACAAGAGATCTAATTTAACAGAACAATGGCATGAATCACATTAAATCGATGTTGCTAAGTGTGACTTTTACTAGTTTTACAGTTACATTTATTTATTTATTTATTTATTTAGACGGAATCTCGCTCTTCTGCCCAGGCTGGAGTGCAGTGGCGTGATCTCAGCTCACTGCAAGCTCTGCTTCCCGGGTTCAAGTGATTCTCCTGCCTCAGCCTCCCGAGTAGCTGGGACCACAGGCACCCGCCACCACACCCGGCTAATTTTTTGTATTTTTAGTAGAGATGGGGTTTCACCATGTTAGCCAGGATGGTCTCGATCTCCTGACCTCACGATCCGCCCGCCTCAGCCTCCCAAAGTGCTGGGATTACAGGCGTGAGCCACCATGCCTGGCCTACAGTTTTTAATTTTGTAATAATATCTTCATTTCTTATGCTGTCATCAGAAGAATTTTGCATCTACTTTTATGTGACATATTAAAGTCACTGAAAGAGTCCACCTTACGTTCCTCATGGCTTCCCCTCCTGTAAGTGATCCCCAGGGCCATCCTAGACCTTGTCTTCTTTGTCACACTCTCTACTCTCTATGATGCTTTCATTCACACCATGGCTTTAATGCTCTGGATAATTAAGCAGGTACTGCAGCTTATACTTGTCATCTGAGCTCCAGGACCACATCAACACAAATCCGTCACCTCTTCCTGGATAACCTATGGCACCTCAGACACACCTGGAACTGTTAATGTTTTCTTTGGAAATGCTTTGCTAAATTCCAGATGTCTGTGAATGACACGACCAGGTATGGTCCCTCGAATCAGTAGTTCATCTTCCTTCCCTACACCACCAGATGGGTGATGAGTCTGCCTCCCAGCTCCAGGCCTTCATCCAACCTGACAGCTGCTCTCACCTAGATCTCACAGCTCACTCTGACTGACCTCCCTACCTCCAGTCTTTACTACTCGAATCCATCTGACATATTGCTGTCAGAGTGATTTTTCTCTTTGGTACAAATCTGAGCATGTCACTCCTGGGCTTCCATCAGAGTTTCCTGAGGGTGAGGGTGAGGCTGTGCTCTGCCTCTGCCTCTCAGAGAATGCTTCAGTGAGGCCAGGGTCACAGAAGCAAGACTGAACTAGAGACAATCTGGTGCACAGTGCGCAGCAGGTAGAGCCCACATCTGGCCAGCTGCAATGCTCCCACCCACCCATGCCCCACACTCTTGAAGCATACACCCATCCAAGGAAGGCGTGGGACTGTGCAGTGGGCTGAGCCAAGTGGAAGAGCTGTCCTTAGATGTCCTAGTGCTTCCTGCCCAAAATGGTTGAATAAAGCCCTGGGCAGCTGATGGCATAGACTCATTCCTCAGATAGCTAACTGTTCTCCCATCGTATGTCTTCTTTCTTTTGACTTTACTTTTCCCTAGCACAGCATCTTTCTTCTTTATTTATTTTTATTTTTTTATTTTTTTGAGACAGAGTCTTGCTCTGTTGCCCGGACTGGAGTGCAGTGGCGTGATCTCGGCTCACTGCAAGCTCCACTTTCTGGGTTCATGCCATTCTCCTGCCTCAGCCTCCCAAGCAGCTGGGACCACAGGCACTTGCCACCACGTCTGGGTTTAACTGTGAGAGAGATGGGGTTTAACTGTGTTACCCAGGATGGTCTTGATCTCCTGACCTCATGATCCGCCCGCCGTGGCCTCCCAAAGTGCTGGGATTACAGGTGTGAGCCACTGCGCCCGGCCAGCACGGCATCTTTCTATGCAAGTTACTGAGCCTACTGTTTTATAATATCATAGCAATTATTATAAATAGTCTACATTAAAATAAGCATCCACTTTTCCTGTATTGTAGGCATTGATTTTGTCTGGCTACCCTGCCAACGTGTGGGCTCTGTGAGTGCACAGTTCCAGTGCCTGGCACAGAGCAGACACTCAGAACATCTAATGAACGAATGGACTCCTAAAATGCCCTCTAGCATTTCTCTGTTCGCATTTAACCATCTGTGCAGGAATTTCAAACCTTCTGTCTCTCTCACCCACTTGAAACTGAATCCCTGAAGGGTATGGATGCTGCATGAAGCATTTTCTTCTGAAGGCCTAGCATACAGTAAATGCTGAACAAAGCACAGAAAAAGAAGCAAAGAGGTAAGCAACAGGCAGAGCAACCAATCCAGACAGAGACTAGAGGACAAAGAAAAAACCAGGGAAAACAGTAAGGGTGCTCAGATGCTTCAAGAGACGAGGGCTGGGGCACCAGGCTGGAAAGGGAAGGTGGTGAGGGCAGGATAGGACAACCTAGAGTCCCTTACACACAGCTGATAACCAGCAGCAGCTTGGACACGCTCTGCAGGTGGAAACCATTGGGGGTGTCCTCGGGGATATGCCGCGTCTGCGTGGAACCTGTGGAGAGAATTAAAGAGACCATCACCATGGTGACCCACAAGTCCAACAACTGCTGGCGGGGACACTGGTCAAACAGCAAACATCAAAGACTGATGGAAAAATGTCCACAACACTGCGACAGCAACGATATGCTAGACAATGCCAGCTCTCCAAGAGGAGAAGGCAAAATCCTCAAGGGCAAGGTCACAGGTTGGGTCAGGTAATCATTGAACAAATGAGAAAATCAACAGGCCCATGTAGCCAGGATATATAGGCCCAGGACAAAGTGATCTTCAGCTACGGGAGGGGACATGGCACTGGGCTAGGACTAAAGACAGCTGGCTTTTGGCTCTGGATCTATTCCTAGGAAGCTACAAGATGGTGGACAAGTCATGTAAGCTCTCTGAGAGTCAGTTTACTCAAATGCAATGTCAGTCAAAATCTTAAAGGCAAAACATGTAACATGGAAGTGCTAGGGGCGAAGCTAGGGGGCATGCAGAAGACTGGCACTCTCCCCTCTTCTTCTGCCTCCCCTGTCCCTATCCAGCTCAATTAGTTGGTCTCTAAGGCCCCTTAGAGTCCCAAGTTTCCAGGATTCAGCAAAGACAAGGATGTGAATGGCTGGGTGGGAAGAGGAAGAAATATTAAGGGAGTCCATGGTCTGAGAGGGCAAGCCTGGATTGGCCCATGGGGGTGAAGTGAAGGGGGACTGTCTTGAACTCCCTGGTCTTTGTGTAATGAGGTAATCTCTGTGGTCTGAGCTGTGGGATCTCCTTAGTGTATTTCCCAAGAACTTGGAAGCTTCATACTTGAGCCTATGCAGGTAGCCATGGAACTAGGGCAACACGAAAGCATAAACACTAAGGCAGCTTTTGTTAATTAGAGCACACATATGGGTTCAGTTGGGGCTGAGGAACTTAAAGAGCAAAGAGAAACAGAGCATTGGGAGCCTCAGAATTAGTGACTTATGTTCAAATTATATACAAATTATATCCAAGGCGCAAAATGAGTGTGCATGTGTGTGCCTTGGTGCGGGCATGCAGCTCCAGCCCAAAGCTCAGTTCACCCCACCTGTCCCCACCTGGCACACACCTGCCACATGTTTGATCCTGTGGCCCACATCCTCATCTGTGGGCGTGGTGACCGGGCTCATCACCTCTTCCAGGTGAGGGACTCGCAGGTGGGCATGGGGACGCTTCCTCCTCCGCACCGTCGTAGTCTTGCTGGCCTTCTCTTTGGGAGATTGTCTGTGCATCTCAGCCAAATAGGTGCTCTCCGTTTTGGCCAGCTCGCTCTCTATCAGAGAAGAAAAGGCCACAGGAGACGCTACTTTCAGCCCTCCAGATGCAACTCCCTGCAGAACCATTTTCCTACTCTGTATTCTGGGAAGTTGGGTGGGTGGGTTGATGACCCTCAGAGATGCCCCTGAGCCTCAGGAGGTACTTCTGGGACCCAGCCCCAGTCAACCCCTTCCTCTGGGGTTGTTCAGTACTGCAAGGAACCATATGCTCCCAACATCTGCACCCTCATGTATACAATTTGGGGCATACACTTCTTAAATAGATGCATTCACAGGCATTTTACAAATACTTCTTGTCACAGAGTCACTAGGTCTGTGGTTCCTTTTGGGGTGAAGGGTGTTATAGATCCCTCAAAGATCTCCTAAACATCCTAGACACAGTCTTGAAAAATGCACGTGTCCACACACATGCCAAATTTGGTGTCCACATCGGGAGCAGGCGTGGGTACCTCAGGAAACTACTTCACCTTTCAGTCTCTGCCTCTATTCTCAACACCATTCCCCTGAATGGTGGGCAGCAGGAGTGCAGTTTATCGTCTCTGCAGCCCAGCTAGCAGCAAGGATTGCAGCGCTCACCTAAATGGCGGAAGTAGTCCTCCAGCCCACTCCAGAAGTTCTTCTCGATGAAGGTTTTCACTAACCCCCAGGGCTGTTTTCGATAGCGCAGCTCTGTGGAGACCCTGAGGAGCAAGCCAGACAAGATCAGTCATTCCCTGGGTGGACCTGCCTCTGCGGGGAAAAGGGAAATTCGGGATTAAGGCCAAAGCCGCTTCACATTTGTACTAAACTTTGTAAGTTAAAAGGTCTTTCCACATCCATCACATCATCTGATCTCCAGGACCACCCTCTGAGCTCAGTGGAGCTGGTGGATTTATCCCCATTTTATAGATGAGAAAACTGAGGCATAGGATACTTAAGCAGAGCAAAGGCTAACAACTAGGGTTCTGACTCCAGAGTTCTCTTATGATGGCACACTGCCTCCTCTCAGGGGTCTCACATAGGGCCCAGCAGCCTGCCTGCCAGGCAAGAGGAGGCTCTGCCTGAGGTTCAAGTCGTTTGAGAAACTGATACTGAAAGAAAGTAAGATGGCCCATCCTTTCATCAGGGTCCTTCTCTCCTTCTCTGGAGACTTTTAAGTCTAAGTCAAGTTCTGGGGTTTTATGACTTTAACCTTTAAAAGCATCAGTCACCCTGGGCAACATAGTGAGACCCCATCTCTACAAAAATAAAAATAAAAATAATTAGCCAGGGGCATGTCTGTAGTCCCAGCTAATGGGAAGTTGAGGCTGAGGCTGCAGTGAGCCATGATCACACCACTGCACTCCAGCCTAGGGAAGAGAGTGAGATCCTGTCTCCGAAAAAAAAAAAGAAAAAAAGAGTATCACCTACTGCTGGCTGTGCCTCCTGCCTCTCCACTGCACCCCAGACTTCGCCGGCTCTTGCTCTTTTCCAAGTACTCCCGCTCCCAGTTGCTGGTCGCACTTCTGCCCATACCCCCTGCAGTATCAGCTCTTTTCTCTCCTATGCAGCAGCCCTGCTCTTTGACTCCCCCTTAGGTTCATCTGCATCTGTCAATAGATTCTCCCAGCTAATCCATCCCACCCCATCCCACCCTGTGACTAAGGCTGCCAGCCCACCCTCATCCCCCTCCTCAGGGATGCCACCTCCACCCATGTCCCAATGGGACAATGCCTGTACTTGGAGACACCTCACTCCCTAATTCAACAACCGTTGACTGCATTGTGGATGGGCACCTTCCTATAATGGTCTGTTCAAGGTCAACCAGCTACCTCTGCAAGGCTGCAGAGAAAAGACGCAATTGAAAGATCTTCTGAGGAACCCGGAATTAAGAAACCTAGGCACTGTGGAGGAAAGGATAAGAATAGGAGGGAGAGAGAAGGAAGGAAAATAAAAGAAGGCCGGGCGCGGTGGCTCACGCCTGTAATCCCAGCACTTTGGGAGGCCGAGACGGGCAGATCACGAGGTCAGGAGATCGAGACCATCCTGGCTAACACGGTGAAACCCCGTCTCTACTAAAAATACAAAAAATTAGCCGGGCGTGGTAGCGGGCGCCAGTAGTCCCAGCTACTCAGGAGGCTGAGGCAGGAGAATGGCGTGAACCCAGGAGGTGGAGCTTGCAGTGAGCCGAGATCACGCCACTGCGCTCCAGCCTGGGTGACAGAGCAAAGACTCTGTCTCAAAAAAAAAAAAAAGAAAAAAAAAAAAGAAAATAAAAGAAGGAAGGAGGAAGAGAAGGAAGGCTGAAGGAGGAGTACAGTTCAGGAAGAAGCACAGAACACCCAATCCCCAAAAAGTAACCGAGAGAATGAAAAAGACGCAGGCCCTCTTTTTTAAGAGATAGGGTCTTACTCTGTCTCCCAGGCTGGAGTGCAGCTGTGCAATCATAGCTCATTGCAGCCTCAAACTCCTGGGCTTAGGCGATCCTCCTACCTCAGCCTCCCGAGTAGCTGGGACTACAGTACATGCCACCACTCCTGGATAACTTTCAATTTTTTGCAGACACAGGGTCTCACTACGTTGCCCAGGCTGGTCTTGAACTCCTGGGCTCAAGCAACCCTCCTGCCTAAGCCTCCCAAAGTGTGAGAATATAGACATGAAGCACAAAGGTCCTTCTTGATGCACACTTGTTGAAGCCCAAGAGATCCCCGTGCAACCTTTTACTAAACTTTTATTTGAACTACATCGGTGAATTTTTGGCTCCTTACAACCAAGAAAACTTGGTCTAAGGTACAGGTAAATGGTCTGATGATTTTCAAATGGGTGTGTGTCTTGCCTTTTCAATTACACTACAAGTTTCTTAAAATGTCAGGGTCGAAATTTCTTCCTTCCTTTGGAGGCACATCACAGTGCCCAGAACTAATTATTCACTCAATCAGTGTTCTCTGGACTCTGATAAGTGCAGGCCCAGCTGGGTGCTGGGAAGGAAGTGTGAGTGGAATAGAATTCCTGTCCTCGTGGAGCTCACAGTCTAACACTAATGGCAATCCACACAGCATGGTGGACAGAGCACAGGTTTACAACTCTAAGATCCGGGTTTCAGTGCTTACTAAAGACATGGCTCTTGGCAAAGTTCCTTAACTTATACGAAACTCAGTTTTATCTGAAAAATGAAGATAAATCCACCTCTTCGAGTCATTCTAAAGACTCCGGCGAAGGTAGGTAAAGCGCGTACACTATACTGTATGAGCCATACACAACCAATAAAGAGCAGTAGCTATACAAGCTTTACTAACAAGATGTACAGAGTGGACAGAATAATTAACTCTTTCAAAACAGGGTGGTGGGTGAGCCTCCGAAGGCTTTGGAGAGAAAGCAGAATAAAGAGAGTGAGCAGCCAAGCACACCCCACCTCCGCCTTCCCTGTCAGGAGCAAATGAACGTTCTCTAAGGTAAGGACCCCCGTCTGACTGCCCAGCGCCCTGCACACAGCGCACCTGAGTCGGCTCTTGTTGCGAGCCACGCGGGTGAGCGTGTAGCGGTTGATTGTGTAGAAGTAGTCATGGTAGGGCACGTCGTGGGTGAGGACTTCGGCATCTATCACGTAACATTCACTCTCCTGGCTCGCCTTGTACATGGTCTGTGGGCAGGAAAGGTCCATTGGACAAGACTGAAGAGGAGCAAGAAGCTTGGAAAAGCACCTTCTCCCGCCTCCCCCAGCCCACCCCACCCCACGACTTCTGAACAGGAGAACTGGAATCAATGGAATCAGCAGCATCTAAACAAGCAAGATGCCACCACTGCTTTGGGGCAAAATGACACTCGCGCCCTGAAACTCCTTCCTGACATCTGCCCTGAATCCTTCAAGACAGAACACGGGAATTTCCAGCCCGCTCTTCTGTGCTCTGCTCACCTGTGTCTCCCTGACAGTGGCGGTTTTGGGAGCCAGAGGGTTGGTAAGGGTGATGGTGTAAAGAATCACTCGGCTCTGGTTTCCGTTCTCCTCCTTTTTCCATGGATGGAAGATGATATCTAAGGGTAGAGGAGAGCCCTGGAATGAGGAAGGGAGGGCAGAGCCCCCCTCCCCAATCCGAGTTTCCCGTCCAAGTGACCTTCTGGACTGTGCTCACTGCTGCCTGGCCCCCAAAAGGAAGCCAATGGGAGCCCGAGGGCCGGGCGGAGGGTGGGAAGAGGAGGAGTCGTCGAAGCAGAAAGAGGCTCATTGTAGCATTGTCAAAATTCTACACAAGGCTCCAGAATGCTGATTGTTCCTGGGGCTGGGACAGGAGGTCTTGGGGCCACCTACGGGGGTGCTGGCAACACTGGCGTTACTGTGGCGAGGACCTAGGGTCCCTTGGGAACAAGTCCTCTCCTCTAAGCCATAACCTCCCCGTGCCCTCAGCATGCCCTCTCCTCTTGGCACACAGGATCGCTGATGCCCAAATGCTTTGTAACAGCTGGATGCTTACAGGTCCCTGCTGTGGGAAGAGTTTGGGGGAAGGGGAGGAGGCAGAAGCACAGAGGGTCAAAGCATGAACCCCCAGATCCCAGATGTGAGGCCCAGCCTAGCTCCTTCTTAGCTGCGTGAGGTCAGGCAAGCACTAACAGTTTGAGTTCCAGCAGCCTCATCGGTGTCCACACACGGGGTAGCTATGAGGTCTGAATGAGACAACGTCACAAGCATGGCATAGAGTGGGTGCTGCCAGCGATGGAGAGCCGCTGTGCTTTGCTAGACGGTGAGCCCTGTGAGGGCAGGGACAGGGCAGGTCTTACGGGCTGGCATCGAGTGCCTGGTGTGCAGTGGGCAAGGGTGAAGCTGCAGTGCTGGTGAAAAGGGAGGGCAACAGGGCCTGAGGGAGCTCCCACACCACAGAAGGCTGGAGAGAGGGTGCCTGGGCCCTCAGGTGGCCGAGGGAAGGAGGGTGTGTGGGAAGAGGAACAAGGAAGGGAAGGAAGCAAACGTAGAGAAGGAAGAAGCGAGGACGAAGAGGGAGGAATGGGGGGTACAGTCCCAGCAGAACGGACCAGAGAAGCGCCGCTGCTCCATGAAGTCCCGCTGGAAGGGTGAGTTGGTGAAGAGAAGGTCATAGAGCTTGTCCACGCTGAAGTTGAAGACTTCATTCACGTACTGCCGGCCACTCAGGTCCTCATAGAAGGCCTGGACCTCCCCTGCACAGAAGAGAGGATCAGGAAGTAGACAGTGACAGCGGAGGGGCAGGGGGCCCCAGGGACATCCTCCAACTTATGTCTCTGGCTAACATGGGCACAGCCACCAAGGGTATGGAGAGACTACAGAGCAGGATAGCTGAGCTCATGGGCACGGTTTAAGACTTTGCTTTCAGTCTCTTTCCTTTGCTGGGATGCACACCATTTCCTTTAGTTGATGCTCTGCCCATTCCTTCTCTACAAGGTGTTTGGGAATGTACGATTTGCTTTTACACTTTCAAACCTCCCTAATTCAGTTGATCTTAGACTAAAATTCAAATAAATGACTACTTCTTGAAGTTGCCTAAACCCAAAGAATGGGGTTTTGAGAGTCTGTAAGTCAACTCCAATCAACAACAAATTGTAGTTGTAACCCATGGCATAGGTGTGTTTGAGGGAACGTAGACTAATCTGGAAGTATCAGTGTACAGAACTGCTGCTAAGGCTGGGGCTGGCCCAATAGCTATGACCCCTAACTACACTTCTGTAAGGCAGCCTATTTCTACCATGAAGTCAAAACCTACTCCCCCTTTTAAACTTAGGATTACAGCTTCATCATACAGCAAAATAAGAATTCAAACCAGAATGAGAGGCACACAGAGCAAGGTGTGGGAGGGCTCCAAAAGTGGAGCTTCCTTCAGTCTCAGGGATGCAGAGCCCTCCCGGCACATCAATGGTCCATATACAGAAGATCATCAGCCAGGGAATTTCACCTGTAATCTGAATTTTCCAGCTGCTACAGGAGAATGCATCTGAGGATACAGGTGAGCTGCTAAAGCCTCAGTGCTCCACCTGAGTCCTTGGGACCCCTCAGTCCCTAATTACTGCACCTGCATGGGTGGGTATGTGATCTCAGGAGGAGGCTGACCTTTCTGGCACCCCTAAGACCCTGAGGAAACCAGAGAACTCTGAAGTACCCTGTAGGGTCAAGTCCTATGACTGCACAGATGGGTACTGCACAAGCGCAGCACAGGGGGTATTCACACCGTTGTTTATGCGAACGGTACCCCGGAACTAGGCAGTACCCAACCCATGCAGTCATTTGTGCTGACCCTGGACTCTACATGGGGGTGGTCCAACCAAAGGTTAGAAAACCACTGCAGGTGGCCCCTAGGAGAGGTGTCCACAGATTCACAAGGGAGCACTGTGTTCATACGCTCACTAGTCATAACAGACCTCTCATTCAATGGAGGAAATCCATCAATTGATTTCTTGAATGCTGAGAATTTGGCTTCTCTCCATGGAAGGTAAGAAGCAGCATGTGCCCAAGGGAGGACCTAGAAGCTAATCCTACGCAGGCATGAAGTTAGAAGCTACCTGCTTACAAAAACTAGAGAAACAAGGGAGTCTCCAAACCCTATTTGACTCAGCAACACCTTTTCTTCTCGCTGGGCCTAAACATCCCATGCTACAAAACTTGCATTAACAAGTTTTGCAACTATCTTGAGGACATTTCTGTGAAAATCTAATTATTTCCAGGGAGCAGCTGACTGGCGCCTTCCTTGTGGCTTATACACATTGCCTAGCCTTGCATGTCTTTGAGGGTAGGGGCCACAAGGCAAGCCAATGTCAACAGGGGGTAAATTTAGTGACAAGACTAAATGACAGAACAAAGCGTTATCTATGAGAGGCTCCTACAGCAAATAACTGAAAACAGGGATGTAGACTAATAACACAGGTACCTTTTGTTAAGGAAGCTCTGCTCCCATCTTTCCACCAGGAGCCTAGTAACTCCAGTCCCCACATAGAGATCTCCTTTTAGCCTTCAAAATAGAGAAAGGGCCACTCCAGACCCGTTTTCAAATGCCCACCTTCATCGTGTGTGTCGGAAGAGTCACTGAGCTCAGTGGGGATGTCCTCATTGTCATTGAAGTCCAGTGAAGGGGAGTTCACAGGAGCGATCATCTCAATCTTCTCCCCCATGATGTTGTCAATGGCGAGCTCCTTCTCCAGGGACCCGTCTCCCTCCAGCGCCTCCTCCTCCAGGGGCAGCCCATCAAACTGCAGCCAAGACAGAGGAGTCACCCACCAGGGAAACCTGGTCTGGATCTACTCTCCGAAAGGAGATTAGGGATCCGGCCTTGGCAGCTCTCATACTCCCAGCTCAGCTGCTCAGGAGCTAAGTCAGAGTCAGGCTCCAAAGCCCTTCCCCGGAGCTGCCACAGAGGATGGGCAAACACCGTACAAGGACTACTGACTGCACTTCTCACGCTCGCCATTCCAACAGCACAACAAGCTGGTCCCCACAGGGCCAGGCCCCTTCCTGCAGCCGCACCTGCACCATCCTGCAACAGGGGCAGCCTGCCTCCAGGTGGTACCTGTTTATCCTAAGAAGCTCGAAAGGCTTCATAAGCATTTTTTAAAATCTCATTCTCTCCTTAGCCCTGGAAGGGAATCGATACAACTCTTTACATTTTAAAGATAACCTCAGAGATGGAAAATAAAGACCAGGCATCCAATGAATAACGTTTTCATTCTAAGGGCAGGTGGTCTGACTCACAGCCTACTGAAATACAAGGTTCCCTTTGGAGGGAGTCCTTTCCTGAAGAACCCTACCTATTCTTCCGCCTGCCAGCACACGCCCTGACCCTCTTTCCTCAACAAGGTTCTACCTCCTCTATAACAGAGTCCCAGAGGACAGAGGTCCTCTTACACATTTTTATGGCTTCCACAAAGTCTACCACAGTGGAGAAACAAGCCACAATACGTATACTCAATAAATATCAACCAAATGAGTGGATAAACAATTAATTGTTCTACAGTTCTATATTCATGCATGACTCTGACGTCAGATCAAGGCAGTGAAAAAACACCTGGGATTGTTCTCTACCAGAAGGGCTGATCAGCAGCAGTCCAGCAAAAGCAAAGCCCACACAGCAGACTTGAAGTGGTTTTCATCTGCTCAGAAGTCAAACCCAATCTTGTACCCCCGGCACCCAGCCCCAGCTCTGGACCCCGGGCTACGCCACTAGAATACAGAGAGCCCATCTGCTCCAGAACGCCTCCTTGAGGAAACTGACCACAATGTAACCAATCTCCTCTCTACCTGCTCCCCAGATTGGGTTCCCAGTGAACTATGCTAGGAAATGCTGGCCACAGGACTGGCGGTAGAAGCCAAAGGCTGACTGCCCATACCGAGACGGGGGCCTCACTGCTCCCTGTGGATGTCAGTGTGCTGTTGGTGATGGATTTCTTGGGCAGCTGTGGACTGGCATCTGGCTTGGTCTCTATGCTGCTCTTGGATGAGCTGTCATTCACTTCATTCTCTTCCACAGGGATCTCTTCACAGTATCTGAGAGAAGACACCAGTGAGTCCACGTTAACCTCAGTGGTTCAAGACGGCCAATTATTCTAAGAATCTCAGACCTTTCAATTCATCCAAATCTATGAGATTTCCTGCCTCTTCACTTTGTATATGATCTTCCTCTAACCAAAAATCCCCCGCTTACCCCACTGCTCTCCTGAAATCTCCTTCACATCCCACCCCACCCTTCCCTGCCCCCCATGTAAAATTTCTGGCTGCGAACTCACCTTTTCTAGGCAGCCTCCTTAGAGTTATCCCTACCTCAATGAAAGGATTATTTGTCTTAAGCTATTTTTTCCCGTGGGTGCCCATTCCATTTTAAGCCTCTGAATCAAATATCTGGGTTCTGAGCATGCATTTCATTTCCCAAACAGTGACTAAGACAGGACTCTGGACACGAGCGCTCCTTCAGTGGCATTGCCAAATTCTGGATGATAACTAGAAAACTTCCCTGCATTACACACCTAGAAAGAAAACCTCCTTGAGATGAAGGTGGGTGCCCGTCTAGGAACACTTCAGGGATGCTGCCGTTGCCTCCTCTGAGAGAGCAATCATCACCCTATCATCATCATCCTCATCTGACCTGTACTTAACAAATCCAGATGCTTGACAACTCTCTGGAAATCATTATGTGCATTTTAGAGATAACCAAATAGGTATTCATAGAGGTTAGGCGACAAGACTATTCTTTCGACTGAGCCCAGACCTAAGCACAATAGACATTCAACGCTCTTTTCCTGCTTTCTTCCCTGTATGCCTCTGGCACCACCACCACGCCTGCAGCTAGCTACCCTTCCACTCTCAAGCATGCTTTGTGCCAGTCTACGGGCACATCTTCCCGTCTTCCTTAACCTATCGACAGCATTGACACAGTGACAACACCTTCTGCTTCACTTCCTTCCCTTGGCTCCCAGGACAGGAAACCTACCTAGGGCCTGCATGTGCTTTCACGCTCTCTTCAGCTGCTTCTTCCCCTCGTTGAGTGCTCCCAGGCAGTCCTTGAACTTCTTTTTATGTTCACCGAGTCACTTGAAATTTCAGCTAATCTCATGACTATCCATCAATAATTGCTGCATTTATGGCCTCAGCCCAGGCTTCCCTGTGACCTTCACACTCCATACCTAAATGCCCACTTGACATCTCCATTTGGCTAACAGGCATCTCAATCTCAACTTGCCTAAAACTGCCCTCCTGATCTTCCCCCTGAAACCTGCTCTGCCTACAGTACTGTCCATCTCCGTCTGGAACAAGGCCATCCTTCTAGGCAGTAAAACCAAAAAAGTCTAAAAGCCACCTTTGGTTCTTTTCTGTTCCATCAACATATCCTTCAAAATCTATTCAGGAACTAAATACTTATTGCCATTTCTCCTCCAAACCACCACCATCCCTCATTTAACTACCTAAATTACTCAACGGCCTGTTAACGGGTTTCCCTGCCTCTGCCCTGGTTCCCCTTCAATGTATTCTCAGTGCAGAGGCCAGAGTGATCCTGCTGGAATGTTAAATCAGAACTTAGCAATTACCTAGGCCACACTTTCCCATCCCACTTTTAGTAAAAGCCAACCATAAAGTTGGCCAGGCCCTTGGGCTCTGCCCCCTCGAGCTCCCTGACCTGTGACCACTTTCCCTCGTTCATTCCGTGGTTCATTCCAGGGCTGCACAGGCATGCGTGCTGCTCCCTCTGCCTGGCAGGTTCTTCCTGCAGGCATTTGCATGGCTGCTCTGGGCAGCCGCCCTCGGCCTCACTCACCCCATCGTGTTGAAGTCGTCATCAGGGGGCACGTAGTCCTCGTCATCACTGGTCAGGCCCAGTTCGTTCCCATAGCACTGGTGAACAAAGTGCCAGAGCTCCTTGGGACACAGAGGCTTCAGGGGAGAAAAGGAACGACTGAGCCTTCCTCCTCAGGTCCCCCACTCTGCACAGAGGCACTGAGCCTGGCTGGTTCCCCTGGAGAGGAGGAGAAACTCCTCTCTCCTTAGCTGAACGAGAGGCCAGCAACCACCCCCGTCTGCCTTGGGGGTCTCAGCAGGACACCAGTCTCCTGCCTAGGAATGTGGACTTCAACAAAACCAGGAACTGGCCTTTCAGTGCCCGATCCCTCAACAGAGGTTTGTAGAACGTGACCACCTGGCTCCCAGAGGATGGTAACTGTCTCACCTTTTGCTCTCATGGAAAAGGTCCAGCACTGAGTGGCATAAACCCATGTGACTCTGGGGCCAAGGCGATCCCAGAGCTTCTGATTAGCACTCTGAATGAATGCCCAGAGGTCCACTGACCCAGTACCCCACCACACTGCACAGAAATCTCCTCTTATATTAACTGTGGCCTTACAGACCCTACTGGATCACTTCCAAGAATGAGGTTCAACCTCAAAGGTGGCCCATTCCATAGCTGGACAGTTCCTTTGGGTAGAGTCTTATGTTCCCACAGTTTTAGGAACCTTACAGGTCATCTCACGTAACCTCGTGACACCCAACCTAAGGTGGAATCTGTTTACCAGTTCTAAGCGTTAGTTCCAGTGTTTTCTTATTTCACTGGGTGCCTATGTGTCCTCCCAAAAAACACTGCCCTAAGAAAAGTTTGTTCTCATTGGGTTCAGAGTCTCCAAAAAGAAGCAACGGGATGTCAAAGAACTAAGATCAGAGGCAGAGACCATGAATGAGTCTCAGACTGGGAGGAAGGGGAGAAGGTGGCAGGGATAAGTGTGTGGAAGAGAGGGCAAGGGCATGAAGAAAAACAGAAGCAATCATTATCTTAAAAAAAAAAATCCCATTTCAAAAACGTTTGCACCAATAGACTTCCTGAAGAATTTGAAAGCTCCCAAGCCCACGGTTTCAGGTATGGTTTAAGAAGCAGGCAGGTGGCAGAGTATATTGAGCTAGGATTCCAGCTTTCTGACTAAAGTGCTTGGAATGGCAGAATTGGGGCCTGCCTCTAGGCCGGTAGGGTTGGGGTGGCAGCTCTCTACGCTGGCCCTCATAGTGCCTGAGGGAGGTATCACCTCCTTCTCTCCTGGACTTCCCCCTCCTATCTCTGACCTTCATGCGCAACATTCACCCTGCCTGGGACACGTCTGCCTCTCTGCCAAACCATGTCCTGCCCTGCTCCACTCTTTGCCTGCTCTCTGCAGCCTTTCCTGACCAATGCCACCCGGCTTGCCTTGGCCAGCCACGATCAGGACAAGCACGGTTAGCAGACCCTCTTCAGCAGGCCCAAGTCCTACGATTATTTGTGAGGGCATTTGCGAAGCATAGGAACGACCCCGTGTCTTATTTAAAAATGACAGCAGCTGTGAGCTGAAAACTCAAATCTGCCAGTGGAGACTAAAACACGTGGTCATTTTACCATTACTGATGGCGAGTGAAGGCAGAGGACCGCAGCTCAAATAAGTTATCAGGAGTGATACCAGGGGTACAGACTCTCAGAATAGAGGAAACTCCAAATAATAAATCCACGCAATTTTCTTACACAGCCTTTTGCTTGGGCCAGAATCAAGGCCAATATATGTATATATTTAAATACACACATGTCAATCATATATATATATACACACACACACACACATATACACACACACACACATAAATACACACACATAAAAATTAATCCTGGGGGAAACATTATGTGTGCGTGTGGGTGTGTGTGCATTTTCTCCTATATCTCTCTCTCTGGCTTGGAGACAGTTTCTCAACATCCAGCTGCATCTGAGTGGGACCTTTTATTTTTTTTAATTGAAACAGGTCTTGCTCTGTCATCCAGGCTGGAATGCAGTGGTGCAATCACAGCTCACTGCATGAAGGGGTGCCTTCTACTGTGTCTCTTCATAGTTTCATTTAAACACTCAACTAGTCAATTCGTGGTGGCTGTGTTAACTACATTTTTTGTACTTCATGTTGTGGCAGCTGGGGCCTTGCTGACTGGGGAGGGACCCATCAGGGTTAGCTAACTCCTAGAGAGAGGAAATAACTCATCCAGGAGTGGGCCTTTCACACGCAGCCAGCCCATCCAAGGCTCATATTCCCACCCTCCCCATTATCTATTATAGCGTCCGAGCTTCCAGGCAACTTGAGGCACCTGCAGCCTGCTGAAATAATTCAAACTAGCCAATCCTAGACCTGCTTGGCCTGCTTGCCCTGCCTCCCCGGCTCCTTCCTGCAAAACTACACTAAAGGCTCTGCCCACTTCTTCCCCTTTCCCGTTCTATCTCCTGACCAACCCTGGGGCTTCCCTGGTGGCCCTCATCCTGCTGTGCCTCCTATTTCTGGGGGTCTGTGAATTTAAGGACTTCTTTCTTCATGGCTGCATGCATTACCATAACTGATTAGAGAAAATCCTGGGACATTTCAAAGCAGTGGAACTGAAGTGCCTGAAGATAATGAGTGCCTTACTTCTGGAGGTGTTGAGGCCATTCATGGGAGATGACATGTGACTTTCAGGACTCAGGTCAACACTATCAATAGGAGAATACTATCAGTGGGGGATTCCCAGAACCCTGAGGAGACACGGGCTTCTCTAGAGATAGCCAGTCCCACAGTAAAAGCAAACTCGGCAGTACTTACCTTTTCAAGGAGAGCATTTTGCCAGAGCCGGAACATCATCATATACGTCCTATCCCGGGCCCCAAACGAAGTGAAGAAGTGCTAGATTGGAAAAGAAAATAACAATCAATATCTGTTGAATTACAATATAATTAAGAGAGACATGGTCCTCCTTCCTTTAAGAAAAGATACTGACTTCATCCTCAAACACTAATGACTCTCAGTTACCTGTGATCACGCACATCCGCTTCAGAGGTGGGGTCAGCACAGCAGAGGCCTGGGTACCTGGTACTATTAAGTTCCCAGTGTGACAAAGTCCTTCCATTCTTACCCACACTTTCCTCAGTGCTTTTCTCCCTGTTTTGAAATTCTCATCTCCATAAGAAATGTCCCTCACCTACCTACTGGAACCGGGTAAGGGGTGAGCTATGAACTAGCCTAAATGGAAGGACAAGACAAACCCACAACCTACTGATCCGCTGACCTATTTCATTCATTCAACCAATATTTGAATATCAGTATGTGTTACGCACTAATCTACATGTGTGAGGGACAAGAAACAACACAGAAAGATCCCGCTCTTGTGGAGTTTACCCATTAAACAGACAGAAAGAAAGTAATGAAGATTTTACTGACCAACCACAAGGTGGTCCACAAATGCTATTTCATTTAAACCACACAAAAAGGCTTAGATAATAAACAAAGCTAACAACTAATAAAGGGTAACAGGCTGGTGGAGGTTAGGCAACTTGTATAATCAAGAAGCTGGTTAGTGTCCAAAACATAGGTTGAACCGGGCAGGGCACTGTGGCTCACGCCTGTAATCCCAGCACTTTGGGAGGCTGAGGTGGATGGATCACCTGAGGTCAGGAGTTCGAGATCAGCCTGGTCAACATGGTGAAACCCGGCTTCTACTAAAAATACAAAAATTAATCAGGTGTGGTGGCGGGCGCCTGTAATCCCAGCTATTCAGGAGGCTGAGGCACAAGAATCGCTTGAACCCAGAAGGCGGAGGTTGTAGTGAGCCAAGATAGCGCTACTGCACTCCAGCCTGGGTGACAGAGCGAGACTGTGCCTCAAAACACAACGAGAGGCCATGGTGAAGGGAAGATGGAGACAATACTGGAGCAGCAGCGGCGCTATCGTGAGGAGAAGGAACGGCTCATGGACATCATGGCCAAAGAGATGCTCACTAAGAAGTTCATGCTCTGGGACCAGATCAATTCTGATCACTGCACTCGGGCTATGCAAGATAGGTATATGGAGGTCAGTGGGAACCTGAGGGATTTGTATGATAAGGATGGATTACAAAAGGAGGAGCTCAATGACATTTCAGGACCCAGTGAGTTTGCTGATTTCTATAACAGACTCAAGCAAATAAAGGAATTCCACCAGAAGCACCCGAATGAGATCTATGTGCCAATGTCAGTGGAATCTGAGGAGCTCCTGAAGGCTTGAGAGAATCCAAGTGAACAGGCACAAAACTGGGTGGAGTTCACAGATGAAGAGGGATATGGTCATTACCTCGATCTCCATGACTGTTACCTCAAGTACATTAACCTGAAGGCATCTGAGAAGCTGGATTATATCACACACCTATCCATCTTAGACCAATTATTTGACATTCCTAAAGACAGGAAGAATGCAGAGCGTTAAGAGATACCTAGAGATGCTGCTTGAGTACCTTCAGGATTACACAGAGTGAAGCCTCTCCAAGATCAGAGTGAACTTTCTGGGAAGATTCAGGTTGAATTTGAGAAGAAACGGGAGAATGGGATCTTTCCTGGATGGCCGAAAGAGACAAGCAGTGCCCGGACGCACGCTGGAGCCCATCTTGACCTCTCTGCACTCTCCTCCTGGGAGGACTTGCCCTCTCTGGGTGTGGACAGATTGAAATCTGCTCTCTTAGATTTGGGACTGAAATGTGGCAGGACCCCAGAAGAGTGAGCCCAGAGACTATTCAGCATCAAAGGAAAGTCCCTGGAGTCACTTGAAAACTCTTTGTTTGCCAAAAATCCCAAGTCAAAGGGCACCAAGTGAGACACTGAGAGGAACAAAGACATTGCTTTTCTAGAAGCCCAGATCTACAAAGATCTATGAATACGTAGAGATTCTCGGGGAACAGCGACATCTCACTCATGAAAATGTACAATGCAAGCAAGAAAGGACAGGAGAAGAGCAAGAAGAAGAGGGAGAAGAGCAAGAAGAAGAGGAAGAAGAGCAAATCAGTGAGAGTGAGAGTGAAGATGAAGAGAACGAGATCATTTACAAACCCAGAAAACCTGCCACTTGGCTGGGATGGTAAATTCATTCCTTACTGGCCGTATAAGCTTCATGGCCTAAATACCAACTACGACTGTGAGAACTGTGGAAACTACACCTGCCGAGGACCCAAAGCTTCCAGCGGCCCTTTGCTGAATGGCGTCAGGCTCATGGTATGAGGTGTTTGGGCATCCCGAACACTGCTCACTTTGCTAAGGTGACACAGATTGAAGAGGCTGCCTCCCTGTGGGCCAAACGGAAACTGCAGAAGGCGTCAGAAAGATGGCAGCCTGACACTGAGGAAGAATATGAAGACTCAAGTGGGAATGTTGGGAATAAAAAGACATATGAGGGCCTGAAAAGACAAGGACTCCTCTAGTGTTCAGGGATGTAGCTCAGCTTTAGGACTAGCCTAGGCTTCCCTGAGATCTGCTTGTTCTATTTCTCCCAACCAAATCCTCTTAAAGACCTTTTGCTACGTAGTTTCATGGTCTAGCATGCATCTTATAGAAACAAAGCATGCTGGCAGATTGCAGGTTTGAGATGTGTTTTATCTGTTTTATATTTAAAAAGATTCTGCCAGAAAATAAAACCAGACCTCGTTCTGAAGCCCAGGGTTATGGACCAACTGAGTGCTTCAGGTCTTAATTCCTCCTCTTTCTGATCAACTTTAGAAGTAGCTGAGATGTAATGGGCACCTGTTATGCTACACATCATGTTATGTAAATCTGACCTGAGCTCTTTCCCCACCCTCCTTCATTGCTACTTCCCTGAATGAGTATCACCCCAGGATGAGGTCTGCCATCAGCTTAGTTAGCCATTGATGCAAACACTAGGGAAAGACTAGGAGGATGAGCCAGGACTGCTACGAAGGACTAAGTGTGGCACCAAGGTTTGCCTTTTGTATTTGCATAAAGAAAGGAGTTGGAGCTGGGTGCAGTGGCTTGGGCCTGTAGTCCCAGCTACTTGGGAGGCTGAGGCAGGAGGGTTGCTTGAGACCAGCCTAGGTAACATAGTGAGAGCCTGACTCATTAAAAAAAAAGAAAAGAAAAAAGAGAAAAAAGGCATGGTGGCATGCACTGTAGTCCCAGCTACTCAGGAGGCTGAGGCTAGAGGATCTTTGAGCCTAGGAGTGTGAGACCAGCCTAGGCGATACAGTGAGGCCCCATCTCAAAACAAAAAGGAGTTGGGCTATTTGGAATTGGCCTGCAGCCCAACATACAATGGAACTAGGACCAACAGTCACTTCACCTGCTTGCTGGGTCAGAATGAGAGACTTTGATAGGTCTGTCTACTTGTTTCTTCTACAAGATCCCTATTTGACTGTAAAAGTAGCTAATATTCACATATTCTCCAAGCCCAGGTAGCCATGGTAGAGTTGGGTAGAGTTGAGCAGCTGCCCCAGGATCCAAACCTAGTGTCTGAAACGGAAAGAACTAGGCAGCCCAGGAAGGCCCTGGTCTGCCTTATAAGCACCGTCATCTGAAAGTCAGGCCTGTTGCAGGCCAGGACCCCCAGAGGCCCCATTTGCTTCTCAACACTCAGGCCTTCAATTGGTTTTTAATAAATCTACTTTAAAAACCAAACAAACAAATATAGGTCAAACCAAACACTATCTGACCCCAAAGTCTCCTGGCTCTTGCCACCAAACTGCCTGAGTCCAAACTGTAAACTCGGCCTTCAGCAGAAACCCAGTCTACCCCTAGCCTTGGACCTCTTCATCTTCAGGCTCTAATGAAAAGTTTGCTCTGTCCTGAATTTTAGCTGACATATTCTCCCCATACTGATAAGGACAATCCATTTTCTACCTGACGCCCCACCCTCTCGAGAGACAATCAGCTAAGCTCATACATAATGACGACTACTGAACATTTGCATACTGCTTCACAATTTAGTGTTTTCAGATATGTGATATTATTTCAAGACTGTGTTAAATAGGTATTGCTGGCTCCATTTTGCAGGTGAAAAACTTAGGCTCAAACATACTACACAACACGCTAACAGTCGAGGGACTCAAATTCAGGTATTCTGACTCCAGGTCCAATGTCTGGCCACTCCATCCTCCCCCTGCTCAGCCTCCCCAAGCCTCTCCATCCAGGAGGTGGTTCCTGGAATCTGCACCACCCTTAGCACCACCACCTCTCATCCCAATCCTATTGGCCTCCATATTCATGCAATTCAAGAAAGGGCAGAAATACAAGAGTAGGGGGTACAAGGGAGGATTAGAAAGGCCAGAGTAAGACTCCACTTACCTTTTCTGAATCAGTGCAAACTTGGATGGCATTGGGAATGAGGCGAGCTGTTTTTTCTTTAGTCATGGAACAGATGTCTTTCAAACGGACTGTCAGCTGGCATCCAAGAGGACAGAGAATGGGTAACAAGCAAAGGGGGGCATTAGTAAGTCAGGTAAACGGTGTTCAGGGGCCTCAGTGTAGACAGGGACAGTCAGATCACATATTTATAACCCTGAAAGAGGCCACATTGGTGATCATCTGGTTTACCCCTTTATTTCACAGTGGGCAGACAGCAAAGTGGGGACTGAGCCTTGTCTACAGCCATGAGTATCTTGATTCTTGGGCAAGGAGCTTTCTATTTTCTCCATAGTCTGCTAAATGTGCAGAGGTCCTGCCATTATTTGCCACTTACAGAAACACAGAATACTGGTGCAGGATGTGACCATAAAAAATCATCTAGTTAGGTCACGCATGGTGGCTCATGTCTGTACACCCAGCACTTTGGGAGGCTGAGGCGGGTGGATCACCTGAGGTCAGGAGTTCAAGACCAGCCTGATCAACATGGAGAAACCCCGTCTCTACTTAAAAAATACAAAATTAGCTGGGTGTAGTGGCGCATGCCTGTAATCCCACCTACTCGGGAGGCTGAGGCAGGAGAATTGCTTGAACTCAGGGGCTGGGGGATAGAGGTTGCGGGGAGCCAAGATCCCGCCATTGCACTCCAGCCTGGGCAACAAGAGTGAAACTGTATCTAAAACAAACAAACAAACAAACAAATATCTAGTTAATCTTTCTCTTCCTTAGTGTATGGGATGAGGAAACAGAGGCAAAGAAAGGACTAGCCTAAAATCAGGCTGCTAATTAGCTGCAGAACCCAGAAATTGTGCAAGCCGGTTCTTCAGAGTCCCAAGGCCAAAGCCCTTTCTACTTGACTATACCTCCTCCTGCAGTCACTCATGCCAAATATTTGCCTGCATTTGACAAAAGCAAATGCTCCCAGTCCTCTCTTCCACACCCAAAGGGGAGAGAGGAAGGGGAAAACATGGCAGAGGAGACCTTATTATTGGGACTTAGAATTGAGTATCTTTCAAGACTCAGGCATGCTTTTGTTAATTACGCAAAGGCTTGGGAAGAGCATGAAGTCAGCAAAAGGAAGAAAGCGAGGGCAGCTTGCTCAGCCACAGCCAAGGAGACGGCTCAGGGGAGCATGCCCCAGGTCTTTACCAGAGTTTCCCAGCGGAAGATGTTGCTGTAGAAGCAGATCCAATTTTCAGAGAGGTAGAGTCGGCCCTGAAGGAGAATGTCTCTTTGGAGTGCACATGAGTAATCTGTGGTAGGAGCGGAGATAGGGGAGCTCAGAGGCAGGAAGCATTTTCAGCAAACCACTGCAGAGTAGGCATGTCATCCCTCCCACGAGCACTGGGGGAGCCCAACGCCCACCATGGACAAGGGGTGCCAGGCACTTGAACTAGCAGCCAAGGAAGTCCCTACCATCTCATGACGAGGAGCATAAAGGTGGCGTGATGTGCAACTGCCTAGAGGCAGATAAATGAATGTGATGGCAAAGTGGGCCAAGGAAGCTAGAGGTGGGAAAGACCAACAAAATTCAACTAACTTCCCTCCCCCATCCACAACTATGCTAACCCCTTCTGCCACCGGGCCATCTGCAGAGATAAAAGTGCCAGTGACTCACTCCAGATTGGGCTCTCGAGGCTGCCATAAGCCTGGTACTCAGCCTCGAGCCCTGACAGCTGGGTCTAGGGCTCTGGACAGCCTCTCTCCCTGTTCCCTTGCTTACTTGGGTTGGCTTGAGGGCTCTAGACAGAAGCACCCTGAGTGCTACGCCGGGGGCTCCCCAGACTTCCTCCCCAGCCCCTCCCAGGTCACCCAACTCACCAACAATGAGGCGCTCCGTGTCTGGAAGCTGCTTAAAGAGCTTTCTGAAGTCTTCATTTCTCTGCTTGTAGGTGGGGCTTAACACCTGCGTGACAATGGCCAAGGTTAGCACACGCACCCCGGTTCTGTGGGGTTAGCAAGGAAGAGCAAGAGGAGGAGCACTTGCTTGTGTTTAAAAAGCAAAGATGAGGCTCTGCCCTCCTACAGACCCCAGGAGGCCAGGCTGAGGAACGGGGCTCGGTGTTGAGAAACACAGTGGGGAGAATCTGGTGCTGGGAAACACTTTGCAGCCAGGACCTCCACCAATGAGAAAATGCCAGACACAGCAAAGGGGGGCTCTCATTATATCCCGATAAGAGAAAGGAAGGAGGGACACCTCCAGGGTGCTTCCTGGGATCCACCATGCCAGCTACTGCTGTTCTGCCTTCTGCCAACACCACCTTGACAGTGAAGCAGGGACCCAAGAAGGCTGCCCAGCCCCCCATGATGTTGCCCAGAGCACCTCTCAGAAGAAGGTGCTGTCATGACTATCAGAGTGAGCACTTGGCTGTGTGGAAAAGACATGATTTTCTAAGAAATCACATAAAACATAAAACCAGTACTGCAATAAGCACACAGGTAGAGAACTAAAAACACAACTGGCACAGGAGAGGCATCCAATTCCCCTCTCCATCCTTACATTATCTAATCCAATCCTTACGGCATCGAGGAAGAGACCAGGGCCAGAGAGAAGCCCCCTGTCCCAGCTCCTCAGCTGGTCAGTGTCAGATCTCATGACCCCCGGTCCTGTGCTCACCTCCCTCCCAGCAACACGGCTGCCTCGAAGAGGCTCATGCCCAGAAACTGCCTTAGCAAATCCTCCTTGGAAATCCCATGAGCCAGCTGAATACACAGAAATCCTGCCCTTTGAGGGCTTACAATCTTGTTTGTTTGTTTATTGGTTTGTTTAGACAGTCTCGCTCTGTCACCCAGGCTGGAGTGCAGTGGTATGATCTTGGCTCACTGCAACCTCTGCCTCCTGGGTTCAAGCCATTCTCCTGCCTCAGTCTCCTAAGTAGCTGCGACTACAGGTATGCGCCACCTCGTCTGGCTAATTTTTGTATTTTTACTAGAGACAAGGTTTCAACATATTGGCCAGGCTGGTATCAAACTCCTGACCTCAAGTGATCCACCCACCTCAGCCTCCCAAAGTGCTGGGATTACAGGAGTGAGCCACCGCACCCGACCCGAGGGCTTACAATCTTACATTTAAAAAATAAAGAATAAAAAAGAAACTAAAAAGAAAATATGTGCCCATAGAGGAGGAGCACCAGGGATGACAGATGAAAGCAAGTGCACAACCCGGGACAAGCCACGCACAGTCACAGGGAGACACCCGCACTCCACCTGCGATGCGCTGACCACCTACTCAGAGACAGCGCTGCGACCCTCAGCCTAGGGTGTGGCCTATGGCTACAAAACAAAACAAAACCTTAGAAAACAACATTCCTCTGGCCCATGGATTAGTTTCAAACTGGTACTGAGATATGGAAAATCTAGATGGCCCCCTTGCCTCTTAGAACAGAGTCCACACACTGAAAACCCCAGCGTGACCACCTGATCGCCAGTGAGTTCTCATTATGCCTAACTGACCTTCTCGAGCTGCTGTGCGGCTCACATGGAGTTATTATCACATGCCAAGCACAGCCATAAGCCCTGTGCGTGGGTCATTGCATCAGACCCCAGATTATTTTTATTCTCCCATTTTGCACTTGAGGAAATTGAGAAACAGTAAAGTTAAGCAACTTGGGAGTGGAATACGAGCGAGGCAGTCTGACTCAGTGCTGTCTGAGACCCCGCTCTGTGCTGCCTCTGGAGGGTACCTGCTCCTGGTCCCCCTGCCAAGAGGAAGCAGAACGGCTTCCCCAAAAGAGCGCACTCCCTTGAGAATGAGATGTTCACCTGCTTTGGGGCCCCCACTAGCCTTCCAAGCCCTCTATTGGGTCTTCGTATTTACAAAGTTCCAGTGTCAGCCTGAGGAGCAGCCGACCAGGAGACCCCAAACACACTTCAGGTAAAACTGGATGTCAGACCTCCAACCCCCTGAAGCCCCAAGTCTTCCTATTTCTAATTTTCTGTCCTGGTGCCTTTTCCCCCTTGATTCTCCTATATCCAGTGACAGCTGAGGTATCCACAGAAGTGGAGGTACAGGGCATTTGACCACAGTCTCCAACCCGCAGGCAAATTCAGGGGGCCCCTACTTTCCTTAAAACAAAGCTGTAGCAGCAGCAGGGAGGGGGGAGGGTGAATCCAGCCCTGGCCTGCTAAGTCAATCAGTCTGGAGACTCCTTTATCCAACCAACACATGCCTATTCCACAGGGCTGTTGTGTGGATGGCAGGCACACCAGGTGGGCATGCTGGGCCTGCCACCACACAGCCTCTCGAAGCTGGAGACCCCAGCCCTCTCCCCGCTGCAACCCCAAAGGTGGGACCTGGCTCACCTAGTTCAATTTAAAATGGTCAAATAATTTTGGTTCCAAGATTGTCAAATCTGGGGCCTTCGGGTAGGAGAGCCAAGTGGCATGACAAGGGTGCAGAACTACCACAGAGACTCAGAGAAACTGGGTCACACACTCACAGCTGGGATTTCCTCAGATCCGTGCCAGCAATGGTGTTCGGCGGCAGCAGGTGCATGGCCAAGCTGCTTCAGGTACCACTGCAGCAGCTGGCTCTCCTGCTCCAGCAGGAGACTCCAGAGGACCCCCGACTCCGTCAGCGATTCCATTGCCCAGCACGGCTGCCCCTCCCAACGATGCCTGGCTCCCTCAGCACTGACTCCCGACTGTCCCCACACGATGAAAACAGTTGGTCTCCCCTGGCTTGACTGTGGATGGGTGGCCTCTGGTTTCTTGGCAGAGGGCCTGTGTGACTCTGACAGGTGTCCTTTCTGCTCCTAGAGCTACGTGCCCAGCGTGAAGCCTCACAAGTGAGAGGAGGTGGTCGGTGCGGTTCTCAGGGCAAGCTGACTGGCCAGTCTCCCATGGCGAGCTCTGCTTTGTCCTTCTTGGCTGGTCCACGGGCGGAGAGTAGCCCAGAGGTGGTGTGGTCATGCACCTCCCCCTGGTCAGTGCAGACAGTCACCCAAGGGTCCAGAGGATGCAGATGGCACAGCAGGTGCCCAGGGCCAGCTGGAGGTCTGGGAGGCAGGCCCCTGGGTAGACAAGCAGACTCTGCAGGACAGCGATGATCCACAGCCGGGTCCAGGGTCTAGCCCCGCCAATCACTCACACGCAGCAGCGTGACTCATAGTTGGTCTGAAACTCCAGTAAAGGAACCAAATGCGCAGCTCCCCAGTCCTGGTCTGTCTCATAGAGTGGCACGTTTAATCAACCTCTACCCTGGGCGGGCACTGGGCTATGACTCACAGCCCTCACCCAGGCAGAGCAGCCACCACTGGCTGCAGCAACAGGGCCTGCTCTCACCTCCAGCCCAACACACACTCCCTTCCTCAGCCCCTGCTCTGCTCGCCTGACCAGCAAACAGCTTCTTTGTTAGAGTCACCCGTGGCAGAGAGGGAGGGAAGGAGGGAGGCAGAGCGGGTGGGCGGGCAGAGCAGGGCCCTATACATGCTTCAAGTTACAGGATCTGGGTGATGGTCCCGGCCAACGTCCTCCAGTAACCCCCAGCTGAGCCTGGCCTCCCCAGCAGATGTTTCCTGCAATGGAAAGTTGCTGGCCAGGGCTCCACATGGAGGCGTGGAGTAGGGAGGGGAGGCAGCAGGGCACCGCTGTTAGGATGAAATCTGAAATGTGAGACTCAAGTCGCCAGGGACTTCCTGGAGACCCTCTCACACCTCACCAACCCATCCATCCACCAACTTCCCCATAGCAGCAGTAGCAGCCTGGGGATTTTGCTGACCCAGTTTCAGACATGCTGGTGGCGGAGAAGCTGACATCAACAGCTTCGGGATCTGTCTGAGGCACCCTCTTCCTTCCCATGGACCCTGTACAACCTCCAGCATTAGCAAGAGGGGGATCAAGCCCAAAAACATTGTCAGATCTTAAGGGCAAAGTAGCAATACTAAAAGCATAGATTTTGGTCCTCAAAGCAGCAAAATCGAGGGGAATGAAAGCCAGGCCAACGGGGCAAGAAAGGCCCCAGACCAAGAAGCTAGAACAGGGATGAGACAGCAGTGGGGCTGGGAAGATGTGGATTCCCAGGAAAAGTCAGAGCCTTGAAACAAATGGGGCCGCCCCCTCACCCTTCCCAGTTCGACCACCTTGCCAGGAGGGTCTTGGCCTGCACAGGATGAGGAATGGTGCTTTTGTCTTAGGAGTCTTGGTAATTTAATACAGCAGCCCCCAAACTTTACTTAAAAATGGCCCAGTGAACACATTCAAAAGTATAGATTCCAGGCTGGGCACGGTGGCTCATGCCTGTAATCCCAGCACTTTGGGAGGCCAACGAGGGCCAATCACTTGAGGTCAGGAGTGTGAGACCAGCGTGGCCAACATGGTGAAACCCCGTCTCCACTACAAATATATATATATAAAAAATATATAAATTAGCCATATATGGTGGCAGGTGACTGTAATCCCAGCTACTCAGGAGGCTGAGGCAGGAGAATCGCTCGAACCTTGGAGGTGGAGGTTGCAGTGAGCCGAGATCGCACCACTGCACTCCAGTCTGGGCGGCAGAGAGAGACTCTCAAAAGAAAAAATAAGTAGATTCCAAAGATGCTAATTCAGAGGAACCTGGATTCTCCCAGGTAAACAGTGTTGGAGAAAGTAGAAGAGTCTGACTCCTCCCGCAAACGCTCCCCTAACAAACTCCTACAGTCCTCTCTAGACGGACACCCCATGGATGCAGACACGGCTCTCCATTCGTGGTGTAGCATGTCTCACTCTAACAGAAGGACGCCTTCTCCAGGGAGGATCTATGCCTCAAACAGGTTCATTGCTTCTCCTGCACTTGCCATGATGTGTTGCAAATACAGGCTGAGCATCCCTAATCTGAAAATGTGAAACCTCTCGAGCCCCAACATGATGCCGCAAGCAGAAGGCTCCACAGCTGACCTCACGTGACAGGCTGCTCAGGTGACACGTCCCGGCCAAAACACAGTCAGCACTTTTCTTGGTGCATAAAATTATTTAAAATATTATACAAAATTATCCTCAGGCTATATGTATAAGTGATATAGGAAATAAATCTGGTGTCTAGACTTGGGATCCAAGATATCTCATTTTATATATATATATGTGTGTGTGTGTGTGTATACGTGTATATATATATGTAAATATTCCAAAATCAAAAACAAATCACAAATCCAAAACACATCTGATCCCAAAAATTTTGGATAAGGGATACTGTATCAGGTGCTAAGAAAGTATTTACCAAGTGAATGCATTCCTCATCTACCTCTCAAAGGATGCCTGTTGACACTGCATCTTACATGTACACACAAAGATCCCTGATTCCATATGTTTGGCGTGTCAGTGCCTGGTCGCTGCCAACACTCTCTCCAACACACGTGCGAGCTTCTCTTCGCCCTGCATGTCAGCCCTATCCTGAGCAGTGTGGCAGGCAAACGTAGCAAGTCCATTTTCCAAGGTGACCAGTATGCCTCCCTTGGGGTGACACCAGACCCCACTATGTAAGCTGTAGGTAGCTCCAAGAGACTCTGGATCCTTACAGTAACTACCCGAAAACATCTGAGTATTGCTACAGGCCAAGTGGCTGCCTGGGCTATAAGGGGTGAGATACAGACAGCAAACGCCCTGTGAGATAAAGCCCTGGGAGATGAGCCCCCTACGCAGAAGCCTTTGTCTCCCCTACACCCACACCAAGGGCTGGGCAGGGCTGGGTGAGAGTCAGCAGAGAAGGAATTGACCCTGGGCTAAACATTAACTCTACGGCAAACATCAGGAGCTGGGACCAAGTGGTACCCTCTTCCCAGGGACGGCGAGAAGGAGGGGGTGGAGGAGTCCAGGAGAAAACAGATGGACTTCAGTGGAGCATTGATCTCACCTAGGAAGAAACCAGTTAAGATCCACACAGGAAACTCTGACCTTGCAGCCAAATCTGGATAGGCAGAAGCCAGATGTGGGACTGGAGACGAGGAGGTAACTGAGCAAAGGAGGGAAAAGGAGACTGAGGCAGACATGGGGGCTATGCAGAAGGGTAGAGAAGGGGTAGGGCTGGGCTGGGCTGGGGGCTCATCTGAAAAACTCAGGATGGGAGCCAGGAAGACCCTTCAAGTTGGGAGTAAATACAGAGGGGAGACAGACAGAGGTGGAGGAGCATCGTCAGTCCTGGGGCAAGGCCAGGTGCCAGACAGGTCTCCTACCCTCTCCACTGCCCACCCCCAACACCCTGAATTCCATTCCTACAAACCTTTGTTTTTTTGCTCTCTCGCTTATGCCAGCCGCTCCCCAGGCTTGGCACTATCCCTCCCTCTCCTCCACAAAGCTGCAGCCCTAACTGCAGGTGCTTCAGGCAAGCAGGGTGCTAAGTCGCAGGCAGCTGCCAGGGTGTGGGCTCCTGTGCTCTGATCTCAGAAATGCTCCTTCCTGGGCTGCCATAGAGAAGACTCCCCGCAGGAATGCACCAGGAGGCCAAGGAAAGAAGCCCCAGGGAACTTATGCCCCGTTGGGGACTGAGAGGGAGTAAATTTCACCCCTCCTGCCCCAACGGCCCTAGCCAGGTTGCCCCTCAACTCTGCCCTTGGCTCCCTGCTGAAGGCAAAATCCTATTTCTGCTTTTCCCTCCATCTCATGTCTACAGGGACAGCTCCCTTGATTGGAGGGCCCTGATGAATAAGACTGGGGTGGTAGACTGGAGCACTGCGGATAAGGAGGAGTACATATATTCAGGCCTGGGAGGACTCAGGGTACCTGTAGATGGCACAGCCTTCAAACCCCACTCTGCACCTGACACTCTCCTGCCACGGCCTCTCCCCGTGTCCCTGGGGTCCAGCCACTTGCCTCCGCATGACTCACTCTTTAGACCAAGCATGTTTGTCATCATGGCAATGGCTCCTCTCTGGCTAGCCATGTAAAAGGAAATGCTTTTGACTTGTGCAGAGAGGCAGCAGGTGAAGGGGGAGGCTGGGGCATGGGCTGGGTGGTGGCTGGGCTTCCTTTCCTGCCAGACCCGGGCTGCTCCAGCGGGCCTGAATGCTCTTGCCACTATCAGCGATTCTGCAGGGCACTGGCCCTCACTGCTCTGACTCCAGCCAGGGGTTTCCTAAGCATCCCCAGGGCTCGGCTTACAATGCCTTTACCTCTCTGAAGGACTTCCGGTGAAATGAATGAGCCTCAGATACCAGAATGGCTGCAGCGCTGACCCGAGGATCCAGAGAGAGGTTAGAGGGCCAGTCAGCAAAGCTGAGAAGGGCAGAGGGATCCTGCCTGAAGGGCAGATTCCAAGCAGCCCAGCAGAGGCAGGGCAGGAAGACGGAGCTCCCTAAAGGAACACAGAAAAGCTCCCTAAAGGAACACAGGAAACCAAGTCAACGCAGCAGAGGCAGGGCAAGGGCCTCCTGAAGAGGCGCAGATGACAGCTGTGGAGGGGTGCTGGGAGAGGAGCTTGTTCAGCTGCAGCTCCTAAGGAGGCATCTGCACATGAGAGCACGGACATGAGCACCACACACTGAAGGAGCAGGGGTGCCCTGTTACCTGAGGGCGGACTCCCAGGGGGGCCGCATGAATCCAGGAGAGGACGGCCCCACACACTCCTCAGCAAAGAGCTCCTTGGGCGCTTGGCCTCTGAGAATGAATGACCTGAGCTAAGTGGAGAGTCAGGGATGTTTCTGTAATGCACTTGGGACGAGAGGGTGGAGGGTGAAAGGAGACAAGGAGAATTAGTAAAGGAAGAGGAAGGACAAGGCCGGGAAAAGAGAACATCCCAAGGGATGATTCAAAGAGTTGCTGAGGTCCAACCGCTTCTGCACATCCCTGGTGCAGGTGGCACCATCAGAAAGCAAGGCTCCGTCATGCCCAGCTCCTCCGCTGGCTCTCGTATGTGTCATCTGAACCCCTGACTTCTGGCCCACCCCATCCTCCAGCCAGGAGACAGCTTCTGCTTCTACCCCATTGCTACGCAGAGTACTCAGGCGGAGGCTAAGGGAGAAGGAATCAGGGGGAAAGGATGGCGGAGAGAAGGGGAGAAAGTAAAGCCTGTTGGAATCAGACAGAGAGGAAAACCTACCCAGGAGAGTGGAAATCAGAGAAACAAGCAAATGGTGGGAGATTAAAGGAAAGGAAAGGGGTGGAGTCAGAGAGCAAAGGGCTGAGAAGAATCCAAGGAAGCACAGGCTGAGACGAAACAAAAGGCTGAGCTAAACAGCAATAAAAAGAGCGATGACAGATGAGAAGAGGAAAGAGATTAACAACAAGGCCAGGGGCTGGCCTGTCCAAACGGGGATGTCTGAACTGTCTCCTATGGGGGCCTGAATTTGTGCGATGCTGCTCAAAAAGGTGCCGGGGCAGTTGAGTGAAGGATGCTGGGGTCCCCATGACAGCTGGGCTGCAGGTCGCTCCCAGGAAGCTCAGCACTCACGCCCCTCCCCTCCTCTGAGGCCACAGGCCAGGAAACCTCCTAGAAGGTAAGGGGCTGGCTCAGAGATAGAAGTAGAGTCTGGCTTCCCTCCCACCCCAAGATACCTCAGCCCATAACTCCTCTCCACAACTCAGCACAGCCCACCAAACTCTGCCTTGTTTGTGGTGCTGGGCAGGTGGTGGCCAAGGCTTGCAGATCAACAGCACCCAGGACGGGCTGGTCACTGGGCAGCAGGATGTTGGCAGCCGCAGGGCTCGTGAGCACATACCTGACTTGGAAGAAACACCCAAGTAGGAAAACACACACCAGCCCACACAATTGATCTGCAACCCTGTCCCTACATTAAACCCACGCCTCTCCCCTCCAGCCCATCCCCTGGCCACAGTGCCCTCCTCAACTCTGTCCTTCACAGCCACAGCTACTCCATGCCCACGTCTCCTGCTGGGCAGAACCTGGTGTGTCCAGGGAGGGGGCAAAGACGGCTTTTCCAGGATTCATCAGAGTTAGGTGTGAGGAGGGCAGGCTCAGAGGGTCATCTGAGGTCAGCCCCTCCACTGTGAAGTCCCCAAAGGGCAGAACACACGGCGGGGGCCAGCTGAGAGCTCAGACAGCTGCTCTGCAGGGGAAAACGTCCAAATCCCACCACCCAGTTTGTGTGACTGAGAGGCTGTGGCCTCCGCCAGGCCTGCTTACCCCACAGCAGTTTCTAGGTATGCAGCAGCTGCACAGGGCACCCCCAGGATGACCTAGACAGTGGCCCACGCCACGCCTTCACCACAGCCCCAAGCACCAGGAGGCCTTGTAGGAAGGGCATGCTTTGCAGCTGCTGAAGGGGTCCTTGGGACAGGGGTCAAAGCCCATCACATGGGTTGACTCTTCTATCAATGGGGGAAAGTTTT